TTTTTCTCTTTGATCAGCTTTGGAGATAGCAGATACTTGAATTCTGGTAATATTTTAGCAGGGGAGGGAAAAAAAAAAAACCCAACATGGTTATCTGGATGCTGTGCTATTTATGGTCAGCTATATTTTCATCCTCCCGGGCTAGAATGGAATGCTTTGTACTGCTGGAAGCTGGGAATCCTCCCTGCTCTCCTATTTTTTGACACATTAAGTCTTCAAATCACCTTTTTCTGCTTGGCTTCAAGGTGGTTATTAGGCACCGGTGGTGCATATGTGTGAGCTAACCTGAAATACAATGTTTAATCCACAGTGTTACTACTTGTAGGTGTATTTTCCTCACTTAAATAGATTTTCCTAATGCAGCATGACTAAGAAGACACACTTCTAGTCATTTGATGCATTTAAATGACTCAAATTATTCAGACCCAGCGTTTTAAAAACAAAATCTGACTTGGCTTTTAATTGGTGCTGGTATTTGGGAGAGTGGAACAACTCGTTTGAAAATGTGCTGATGTTCATCAGTTATCAGACAAAATGTCTACAGGGTTTTTATCGTGGAGCCTAAACTTGCCAGCTCCATTTGGAATTAAGGCTCCAGCTGTTCACCACACCCTGCTCTGCCTTCTTGCTGCTGTTTACAGTAGGAGGTGAAATATATTTTAATTTCAATTATGTTGTGCTGGGTGCTGTACCACGGTGAGGGGATTTTCAGGGCTGCTTTCAAATTCAAGATAATTTCTAAATGAAGATCAGTTGCACTGAAACACAGATAAACTCCCGGGAGCTCCTCTGTGGTCTTTGACTGGGTTTTATCCGTTTTTACTCTGCTTTTCCTGCTGTAGTGACACAATGTTTGGGAAATGAGGAATGTCTTCCAGGTGGTGTTCAGGCAGGGAAATGGGAGAAGGGTGGAATGTGGTACAAGGATTGGTGTTGTAGCCTCAGCTCAGCTGAGCCTTCCACCTAAAACTTCTGTGATTCCATAGCTGGTGCCCAGGGATGATTTCAGGTCCAGCAGGGGAGGTTTTTTGGGTGATAGAGAGATTCACCTTCAGCCTGGCTGGACAAAGCCCATCCTTTTCCTCTTGCATTGATTTTAGGGAATACCTGTGAAGCAAGGGAAAGTCAGGAGAGGGTGGGGAGTGGTGGTTGGGCAGCACCCAGAGACTGTGCTGGGATGATTTGCTGCCTCCATCCCTGCTCCCAACCTCTCCCTGCCTCCATCCCTGCTATCCAACCTCTCCCTGCCTCCTTTTTTTGCTCCCCAACCTCTCCCTGCCTCCATCCCTGCTCCCATCCTGTCCGTGCCTCCTTTTTTGCTCCCACAGTGTTCCTGCCTCCATCCCTGTTCCCATCCTGTCCCTGTCTCCATCCCTGCTATCCAACCTCTCCCTGCCTCCTTTTTTTGCTCCCCAACCTCTCCCTGCCTCCTTTTTTCTCCCCAACCTCTCCCTGTCTCCCTCCCTGCTCCCAACCTCTCCCTGCCTCCCTCCCTGCTCCCATCCTGTCCTTGCCTCCTTTTTTGCTCCCACAGTGTCCCTGCCTCCATCCCTGCTCCCAACCTCTCCTTGCCTCCTTTGTTTACTCCCCAACCTCTCCCTGCCTCCATCCCTGCTCCCAGCCTGTTCCTGCCTCCTTTTTTTGCTCCCCAACCTCTCCTTGCCTCCATCCCTGCTCCCATCCCGTCCCTGCCTCCATCCCTGCTATCCAACCTCTCCCTGCCTCCTTTTTTGCTCCCATAGTGTTCCTGCCTCCATCCCTGCTCCCAACCTCTCCTTGCCTCCTTTTTTGCTCCCCAACCTCTCCCTGCCTCCCTCCCTGCTCCCATCCTGTCCCTGCCTCCTTTTTTGCTCCCACAGTGTCCCTGCCTCCATCCCTGCTCCCATCCTGTTCCTGCCTCCATCCCTGCTATCCAACCTCTCCTTGCCTCCTTTTTTGCTCCCCAACCTCTCCCTGCCTCCATCCCTGCTCCCAACTTCTCCCTGTCTCCATCCCTGCTCCCAACCTCTCCCTGCCCCCTTTTCTGCTCCCCATCCTCTCCCTGCCTCTATCCCTGCTCCCAACCTCTCCCTCTGCACTGCCCGGAGTGGGGGGCACGGCCCTGGAATGGGATCTCTTCCCAGGGAGGATTCCCCAGAGCCAGCTGGATCCTGACCCCTGGTACCATCCAGCTGTGAGCACAGCTGTGGATTAGGAACAGGGGGTTTTGGCTCCCACCCCACAGGAATTTGATATTCACTGGTAACGTCAAAGCACTGAAAAAAAAAATTCCGGTGTTTTCAGCGCTGCTTTGTTTACAAAAACTTTCAAGTTCCTTCCTAAATAATTAATCACCAGCCTAGTATAATAAGCAGGAGGGTTTTACACAACTTCTAGAGCTGGAAAATAGGACATTACACAGCTAATAAAGAGCTCTGAACCAGCCCAAAAGGTCCAGCAGTGAACTCAGCTTTGTGTTGTCCACAAACTCTGCCTGATGCTGCAGCAGCAGAGCCTTCAGTTCTGGGTAAGAACCTCTGTAGGATAAAGTTTGTCACTAAAATGCTTAATTAAAATACTTACCAGTGGTGTTAGGGCTTTTTATGCAGCTCAAAAGTTCAAATGCATCAGATATAAAAATGGGTGTAATTCATCCTAAGCATCTTTTCCTATCTTTCCCTGGATTCCTTTTTTTTTTTCCTCTTTTCTGCTTTTCAGTGAAACACTTGATTGCTGCTGCATCTGTTGGCTGCTCAGGGTTCAGGCAGGGTGAGATTGGCCTGAGATGACTTTTGTTTGCTTTCCTTTGGGATTCAAGCTGTCTGTCCTGCACCGAGTCCTCCCTCCCTGGCTGAAATTTGTAAATAGGAGGATGGGATGCTAAAGAGATGTGGCTTTGCAGGTAGAGCAGAGCAAGGAGAGGATGTTTCTTACTTGAATCAGAGTGGATTTCCCAGGCTTTAAAGATTAAAATAGAGCTTTTGGGGGCAGGAGGAAGGAGGATTACCACTTCTTGCCTTCAATTAATTAACTTTTTTGCTGTTTATGCAATCACAGGCCCTATCTACCCCCTTAATTTGGAAGCTGCTGTTGTAGTTCAGCTAAACTCGATGCTGTTATCTGAAAGATGGCAAGTGTCTTGCTGTGGATAATTATTTTCAGGAACAGGCAGACAACATTTTAATTCCCCTTGCCTAATGTGTCATCAGATGCTCGTTCTGGAGTTCCATATTAGTGCATGTTTGCACAGGGGATTGGCATGTGGGAGCTGGCCAGTTTTGGGTGGATCCACACTTGATGGCACAGCTCTGCTCCAGGAGAGGGCTTAGGCTCTGTGCAGCCACTTAGGGTGTTCAGGTAAGTGCTGCAAAACCACTCAGGTTTCTCAGGTAACCCTAAAACTCAGGGTTTTCAGGGGAACTTTTCAAGGAGGGAGTTACTGGAGTTTCAGGACTGGGCATTTCCTGCCTGGGCCACTCCAGGTGGAATTATGGAAGGAAGAAGAAGGGAGGAGGAGCCAGGAGGAACATTTGGGGCAGTTTTGTGCTGCCAGCCAAGGAATCTTGGTTGTAATGGTCTGAAAAACCCCGGGAGAATGGTTTGGTTGTGGGAGAGGGCCTTGCACAGCTCAGGATCACAGCAATGCCACCTCCAGGGATGGGGACTCCAGACCCCTCTGGGCAGCCCCTCCCAGTGTCCAACAACTTTTCCATGGAGAAATTCCTGCTGCTGCCCAGCCTGAGGCTGCTCCCTCTCATCCTTTCAATCATTTGGGAGAAGATTCCAAACCCACACTTGGCTCCAAGCTCCTTTCACCTGAGCCTGGCTTTGGAGCTGTTCATAGAATTCACAAATCACAGAATTCACAAATCACAGAATTCACAAAACACAGAATTCACAAATCACAGATTCACAAATCACAGAATTCACAAATCACAGATTCACCAGGCTGGGAGAGACCTTCAGGATCATCAAGTCCAACCCAGCCCCAACACCTCAACCAAACCCTGGCACCCAGTGCCACATCCAGGCTTGTTTTAAACACACCCAGGGATGGTGACTCCACCACCTCCCTGGGCAGCCACTCCAGAACTTTATCACCCTTTCTGTAAAAAACTTTTTCCTAATTTCCAACCTGAATTTCCCTTGGTGCAGCTCGAGGCTGTGTCCTCTGGTTCTGTCAGTGCTGCCTGTCCCTGAGTCAGAGTTGCTGTTCTTGTCCCTCTTCTGTTGTCCTTTTATTAATCCAGACTTGGGGACTGTTGGTCATGAACAAATTGATGTGTTTTGACTAAAAACATCAAATAAAATTGAAAAATAAAAGGTAATTTCTTGCCCCAGTCACCTCTGTGGTGGTCGAGTCGTGTGGGCTTCAATTTCTTCCCTCTAATCCCTCACCCCAGCACTTCCTGAAAAATGTATATAAATAGGAGAAAATGCATTAACTATTATATATATAGAGGGAAATGATCAGCTATAATCCATCTGTAGAGCCTTCATTTAGAACAAAAAGTGATTTAAGTTACCTGTTCTTGCCTCACACAGCTCTAAATGTGTGTTTTGCCTTCCTGCTGAAGGATCTAAAACATAAACAGAGCAGGAATGGAGCTGGGAGAAGGAAATAATTGTGTTTTATGAGAGGAGAAGTTTGGGTGCCTCGAGCTGGATGGCACCCACCTTGTTCTGTCAGGATTTCAAGGGAAAAAAATTCCTGGATTCATAAATCCCATGTTTTCCTCAGTTAAAAATACAAATATACTTTGTTCTCCCTTCAGCTTTGGATTTGTTGCTTTTGTTATCTGTATTTTTAGTATTACTTGGAATAGGTAATTTAATTTCAATTTCGTTGCACTTGTCTCAAACATGGCAAGTTTATGGAGTTCCATGAAAATAGAGATTGTTTTTTGTGAAGGTACTACAGGAGTGTAAAATAACTGTTTGTACTTAAGCACTAATATTGATATAAAACCTAATACTGAAAAATAAAAGTTCATTAAACTTTTTTTTTTTTTTCTTTTCAGGTTTCCTCTCAAAAAACCTTCGAGGTGAGTTCCTGAAATTTGCTTTTTTGTCTGTATTGTAAATTATGCTGCAGCATTTTCTTAGGGGCAATGCTTTTAAAAGTTTTATAAACATATATATATATATACAAACTCAGCTTGTAGTACCCATTACAGATGTGAGGAAATCAATATCCAGATGGGGATAAGGTGCCAAAAATAGATTTATTGGTGATAAATGGGGTGACCATTTGCATTCTGTGGCATGGCTGGGGGCTCATCTTACCTGAGAGTTGAGATGGTCAGGGAAGGCAGGGGACACTGTTGGTACAGGTGCTTCCCTTCTGGCGAGATTCTGAATCTTTAATTTTGCCCTGCTGAAATATTTAACGTTTGCTGGGAGAGTTAAGATTTCAGGAGGGTTTTTTTCCATTAAATTTATTTGGCTTTTAAGATAAAATATGGGCTGATGCTGAGTGATAAAGAGAATGCACTTGCTGTTACCAATTGTGGAGGTTTCCAAGACTGTTCCTGGAGCCTTGGATCCACTCCCAGAGATTGCAAGGGAGATCGTTTCCCCCTTTGAATTCAGCCTGCGAATAAATTTTTTAAGGCAACTCGATGCCTGTGCTTTAATCTGAATTTCTGGGGAGCAGGCAGAGCTGGGTGAGGTCTGTGTGAGCGCTCAGGCAGCTCCTGTGGGCTCTGGGTGAGGATATTTTGCTTTTCTGTGCCCCAGACACGGCAGCATTCTGAGCAGAGAGTCTCCAGCAGACAAGAAGCAGAAGGTCGAACGCTGCAGCAGCACCCACGACTTCGATCCCACAGGTAAAGTCCTGAAATTCAAGGGGAAAAAAAAAACAAACCCAAACAAAAGCACTGGGAAGTCGATTAAAAATTATTTTAATGTGGTTTTCAGCGCTGTGTTGTTCTGCAAAGGCAGTGTGGGCACTGAAATGAATGTGGGCTTGGTTTTAAACACCCTCATAATCAACATGGATTAGTGTATCAGTAAATTATTATAACAACTTCCACTTTCAGCAAAGTCAGGAGGCAAAGGCTGTAATTAGCTGTGAGGAGTTCTTCAGTGAAATCTGAAATTGGACATGTGATTGGCCCAGCCAGGGCTGGGGTTTTAATTTTGGGGGGTTTGTTTTGTTCTTTAGTCGATTTTGATCCCTCAGTGCCCCCTGCAAAGTGAATTTGTGCTTCCCAAGGTGACACATTTGAAGATCAACCCCTCATTTTAAAGGATCTGCTGTCCTACTCCTATTTAGCCTGCTTTTATTTTAGTTAAATTAGGGAAATGAAGGTGCACACAGGATTCTTGTCTCTCTGGAATACACTCCCCTAGTGCCTGCTCAGGAAATTCCTGCCAGGCTCCTGGCTGAGTCTCCTGGCCCCATGCAAGGTGCATTTTTCCTGTCTGTGCATTCAGGCTTTTCCCTGGGGCTTGAGGAGCACAGGGGAGGGGAATGGAAGGGGGGCACAACTTGTACAGTGTGGGTTTTTTTGTGCACAAGGCTGATGTTTATAAACCACCCTGGTAATGGTTTCTGCCACTGGCTGCATGAGTCCTTCTAGTGTGCACAAAATAAATGAAAATGGGCTTTAAATGCTCATTTAATGGGAAAAAAAAAAAAACAAAAACCAAAACTGGTATAGTGCTTGTCTTCTTTTCCTTTGGGATAGGTAATGTGAAATTATTTCAGGTTGGAGGAGCTCTCAGGCTGTGAATTCATTTTGTGGAAGGAATTTAATTTCTCCAGAAACAAACTTGAGGAATCCTGTAATCTCAATTTGCAGCAAGTCACTCCAGAGTTGAGAGCTGTGCTTGTGTTTTGATAGGGCGACTCTGCACTGCAGCCTGCAGAAAACCCTTTTCTTTTATTGAAGGGGTGAATTCAGGATGCTGAACTGCTGTGCCTGTGCTGATTATTGACTCTGGGGAGAAACATTGCCAGAGTCTCCGTGCTTGGACTGGTTTTTATCTGTAGTTACTGCAGAGAACTCCTCTGGTCGTGTCCCAGCTCCTGTACCAGATTCTGTGTGCTGTTACCTGTGTCTCCCTGTATTATTCACCCTTATTCCAAGTGTTCCACCTGTGTTTTGTTCACATCTTATTTGTGTTTTGCACGATTTAACCCGATAAATCCGAGTCTGTGTTGTTTTTTTTTTTTTCATGAAGGTTTTTTTTTTTTTTTTCCTCATGTTTGGTCTCCATATTTTCTATATCTCTCTCTCCTTTTCTCCTGCTCTCGTGCAGATAGCTCCTCCAAGAAGACAAAGTCTAGTTCTGAGGAGAGTAGATCCGAGACGTATGGTAAGCCAAAGCTGCAGCCTCCCCCTGGGCAGCTCCTGCTTTTCCTGTCTGTGAATCCCAGGCTTTTCCCCCTACCCTGATCTGCATGGTTGGCTCTGCAGCAGGGACTGCCCTTCCATCCTGCTTCAGTTCTCAGCTTGTAGTGCGCTAGTGGCTGGAAAATGTTAAATCTGGCACCTGTGGAGTGTGACCCGTGTGCCACCCAGTGACATCTGAGCTGTTCCTGCTGTGGGAGCACCAGGCCAGGGTGGCTGTGCTGCCCTCGGGCTCTGGGGGCAGGCAGGGACAGGGTTTGGAGTTTTGGAGCTGTCTTTGAGGTGTTCAGGCACTCAGCTCCTCAGCCAGGCAGGGTTTTTGGAAAGGCTCTGCAGCCCAGGAGCAGCAGGAGCAGCCAGAGCTGCCCTTCCACCCTGCCTCAGTTCTCAGCTTGGGGCGTGCTAGTGGCTGGAAAATTTATTAAATTTTTAATAAATATAAGTTTATTTATGCCAGTTAAATCTGGCACCTGTGGAGGTGTCACTGCTGTGACCCATGTGTCACCCAGTGACATCTGAGCTGCTCCTGCTGTGGGAGCACCAGGCCAGGGTGGCTGTGCTGCCCTCGGGCTCTGGGGGACAGGCAGGGACAGGGTTTGGAGTTTTGGAGCTGTCTTTGAGGTGTTCAGACATTCAGCTCCTCAGCCAGGCAGGGTTTTTGGAAGGCTCTGCAGCCCAGGAACAGCAGGAGCAGCCAGAGCTGCCCTTCCACCCTGCCTCAGTTCTCAGCTTGGAGCATGCTAGTGGCTGGAAAATGTTAAATTTTCCACCTGTGGAGGTGTCACTGCTGGGCTGAGCCCCAGTGACTGTATTTGAAATGTATTGGAACAACTTAGGCCTCAGTGTGCACCAGCCATACTGTCTGCAAGTGTTTTTATCAGAATTTTCTCAGAGAGCAATTTCATCTGTTTCAGAGAGAATTTTCAATTGTTTTTCTCAGAATTCTCTGTGGAATTTATGAAGGTTACTAAAACATAAACTGTACTAAAATAAGAACAAAGAAACTAAGAAAACACATACCAGGATCACAGGAACTAGATAACAGGAAACTATAGAACACCTACACAGTAATCAATCCCAGACAGTGAGAAACAGAAGCAGAGAATGAGGAAACAACACAAAGGCACCAATCAAGGAATTTGTAGAATCTATAAAAGTGTATCTAATGTAAACAATAAACAGCTTCTAATAATCATATTAGCCAGTTATTCAGGAGTCCTGGTTTTCCTACAAGTGACCATTGAGCTGTTCCTGCTGTGGGAGCACCAGGCCAGGGTGGCTGTGCTGCCCTCGGGCTCTGGGGGACAGGCAGGGACAGGGTTTGGAGCTTTGGAGCTGTCTCTGAGGTGTTCAGGCACTCAGCTCCTCAGCCAGGCAGGGTTTTTGGAAAGGTTCTGCAGCCCAGGAACAGCAGGAGCAGCCAGAGCTGCCCTTCCACCCTGCTTCAGTTCTCAGCTTGCGGCGTGCTAGTGGCTGGAAAATGTTAAATTTTCCACCTGTGGAGGTGTCACTGGGTGCTGCTGGCAGTGAGGACACAGCTCCCAAAGGGGTTTGTGCTTGGAGGAAAGTCTCTGTCATATTCTCACTCGTGTTCATCTTCCTGCATTGTTTGTAGGTGCTCTCCGTCATCTCCTTTTGACAGGAATGGAAAAATGTGTCTGCGAATAATTTAAATAAGTGGAGGGATGTGAACTTCTCTGTCCCAGAGAGAGGGAGTGACCCTGCTCTCCTGGGCTGGTTGGCTGCAGTAAATAACAAGTTTGGGATGGGAATATCCCACACATCCTGGTGCTGTCCCCTCACCTGTGTGCCCCCTCAGCTTTGCCAGCTGTGTCAGTCTTGGGGCTGTGACACTCCCCCTGCTCTAGGGCCTTACTCCACTTCCAGTCTCTGGAGATATTTGCATTCAGACCTTAGAATCTAGAAGGCAACAAGCATTCAAAAGTTGTTTTTTGGATCCTATCAGCATCCTCAGCCCCATGGACTTGAGCTGAATCTGGCTGTGTTTATGTCCAAGTGTGCATGTCTTGGCTGCAGCCATGGGTTACCTTTCTTTTCCTTTACTGTTTTTTTAAATTCATGTTTAAAGCAATCTGTGACACTTTCTGATTTTAATCTGTTCAGAAAATTGCTGCTGCTAAACCTGCTGTGGGATTTTGGATGAAGTGACTCTTCAGAATCATCAGCTTTATCATTCCACTGGAATTAGACTGCCAGGTGTTCCTGGCTGTGCTCCAGCTTCTTAACCCACCTCTGGAATACAAAGTGATGCTGTCAGAGCAAGAAACACTAAAAAATAACCAAACAACACCAACCCTGAAGAGTTTAAGCCAACACAGGCATGTTAGGAAAAGCTGGAGCAGTCTGGGGAGGTGTGTCCTGTTCTTTCTGTGAGATCTCTTCGTTTCCCCTGGAATTTTGAATCACACACTTGTTTTTTTTTTTTTTTACAAAAAAAAAAGCAAAGTAATATGATAGCCACGTTCCTCAGGGTGTGAGAGTGTTCCTTCAGGAGCTGTAAACACCTTTGGAGGGTGCCTTGATGGGAACCTGTCTCGGGGAGAGCTGGCTTGCTGCAGCTTGTCATTGCTCCTGCCACCCTCCCAGGGAGCAGCAGGGCGAGGGCTGGAACAGCAGCAGGGATTTGCGGCTGATCTGGTGGGGTTTGAAACGTGGATGAAAAATTAAACTTTATAATTTTAATAAAGATTTGTAGGGAATGGGTATGGTTATTTATAGTGCTGTGGACGCATGTTGGGACTTATTGCTTCTTGATGGACATGCGTATTTTTGAGGACTTTTGATCTTTTTTTATTACTCTTCTTAATTTCTATATGCATAGAATTTTACAATAGGTTAATGCATATTTATTCTGCTAATTTTACATTACACTTACAGCTAGTTATACTTGTATTTAGTTTTTGTTAGAAAGTATAGAAAGAACTCTTGGGTCATTCTACTGTGTTTGTTTTAAGGTTTGAGGAGTTTTTTTTATTTTTTTAGTGTGAAATTTTGCCTTTTTTTTTTTTTTTTTTTTTTGCTGGGGTAGTTTTGTTAGGCTTGCAGTTAATAGACTAAATAGTATATTTAATAAGCTTAAAGTGGTACATTTTACCTAAATCTAAATGTATTTTTACTCTGTTAAATTTTTACTCTGTTTCATTCCCCCTTTTTCCCATTTCAGTTAGTGTGGGAATCCAGAGCTTCCCTCTGGCTGCCCTGGCAGGTCTGGGACCCTGGCAGGGGTCAGGAACCCCCCTGGACAGAGCCCCCAGAGACACTGGCTGTGATCTCTGGCCATGGAAAAGAGTTTTCAATCTTACAGGATCAATTACCAGCTCTGAGTGTTTGATATAAGTAATAATTAAGTGTGGCACGGGTGCAAAAGTAAAATTTTAGGATTCTAGATGAGGGGTCCAAAGGGGACAAGATGGAGGAAATTGGGTGTGTCTTGTCCTTTTTCTCCTTCTTCATGCCCTCCATGTTTCACTGTGGTGTTGGCATTTTTCTGTTGGTTCAGGCTGGGGACACACTGTCCAACGTAGGTGACAGATATTGGCACGTTATTGTAAATCCAGCACAGGTAGTTTGTGGTATTTAATGTTTGTACCATCCCACTGAGGGCAGAGCCCCACACGCTGCCCTGCAGGACAGAGCTGCGGCAGGGCAGCAGAACATGTTAGAGATAAACAGAATAAACAACCTTGAAACCAGCACAGACCAATTATGGCTTCTGCTTTGGCAGCGGGGCTGACAGACAGAGACTTTCTACAACCTCAGAATCATCAATACCACAGATTCTGACAAGTTTGAAGCCAGGTTAGTCAGGATAACCAAACCCCTGTGTCATTTTTTTTGCCTGCTGCTGCTTCCCCACGGAGGTGCTGTGGGTGAATGACAGGAAACATTTGCTGGGACATCTCCGTGTGTCTGCGCCCCTGGTGTGCCAGACACAAACAGAATTTCCTAACGTGAGCTCTGACTCCCCCCAGGCTTCCTGCAGATGCTGTGCCCGTGTCCAGGATCCCTGGGAGCAGCTCCCACTCATCCTTCCTTCCCTGTGGCCTTGCCCTGCCTTTGCTCTGCTTTTCCCAGGTTTCTCTGGAATGTGTGCAGAGCTCTGCTGTTTGCTTTGGAAGGGACCAAACTATTCCAAAAGCTCCAAGTAGAAATGCTGTACTGATATTTTCCTCTCTGCCCACTGGATGGGGGCTGGCCGCTGCCAAGGGAATCGCAGGGAGGGCTGCAGTGACAGCAGGAAGAGGAGGAGTGGCTTTGGTGGCTGTTTGCTCTCACCTCTTGAAATTTTTAATTCAGGAGCCAGAATTTCCTCAAGTGTGTGAGTGGCTTGTGGAGGGGCAGAGTGGTCAGGGAGGGAAATGGTTCTAATGTACAGGAATTCATTTCACATGTAAAAAATGTCATTTTCTAAGTTTGTCTCGCTTTGAAAATGATAAAATGTTTTATTGTTTAATATTGTTTGAGTTTTCTTGTTTAATAAATAGGTTTTTTCTACTTTTCTCCAAAGAAGTATTTTTCCCAAACCAGTTAAAAAAGAGAGGCTGATTATATCTATTTTCTAGAAAAACCCCTTTAAATGGTCTCTCCCAAATTTACCCTAAACCAAAACATTAATTTAAAATAAAATGTACAGAAATACCTCTCGGTGACACATTTTCATTCATAAACCAAACCATCTCACCTTTGTATATTCAACAAAATTCAGATTATCAGGAGAGAGAATGAGTGTAGTTTGTTATGCTGTAATTTGCTAATTAGTGCTGTGGCCTCCCATGATGTTAAATATCTTTTTCTCAAAGTAGCATTTTCATCTCTTAAATGAACTTAAAGCTGAAATTACCTTTCAGGGTGATAGGTGAGGTATCAGTTTCTCTTTCCTTTTCCTCACAACTTGGTTGCTCTTCAAAAATATCTTCCTTTATATTCAGCAATCATCAATTTCTGGCCTAAATATTAGCCTGGACTTGACACAAACTCTTTCACATATTTTCTCCAACCTTGTGATAAGTTTTTGGGTTTTGTTTTGAAACCCCACATTTGAGATGTTTTGAAATTGAAACTTACTATTATTTTTTTCAGTCCTTATCAGCTTTGTGTCTTTATTTTTCCATCATTTTTCCATAGAAATTTGCCTGTATAAAAGTTCTGTTTGTATTTGTGGAGCAGCATTTCTGACAATATTTTATAGACAGAAAGCTTCCCAAACGAAGTGAAACGTTTGGCCACTCTCAAAACCCCAAGGGCTTTGGGTTTTTGTTTATGGAATGATTCATTTCAAGTCCCTCTATTAAACTGCATTTTCCTATCGTGGCCTCATGCTCCCAGGGGAGGTTTTCATTCCCAAATCTCAGCTCCTAGGCTTGGGAGATGGAATTCACATCCCATGGAATCCCAGGCTGCTTTGGGGTGGGAGAATCCTTAAAAATGATTTTGTTCCAACCATTCCATGGGCAGGGACACCTTCCCCTGGCCCAGGTTGCCCCCGGCCTCGTCCATCCTCATCTCTCCATTCTCTCAGTCAGGATTTTAGGGTGAACCCCTGCTCTGTTTGTTGCCAAAAAAAAATTCCTATATTGTTAAATAACTCCCAGATAGGTTGTAGAGAAAAGAAAAAGAAAAATGAGCTTCCCAGAGCAGATGTTGGGCGGCCCAGATGAGTCTGGCCAGGCTGGTTGAGACAATTATTTTGGCCCTGGGGTGTCAGTGACCTTGAGAAGTCCGGACTTTGTCCTTCCACCATCCCAAAGACGCTCTTGGAGCAGGGCTGGAGAAGGAGAGGGACGAGTGCCACCTACTGAGGCTCCTCTCAGCTTTCCTGGCAGTTTCTCTCTCTGCTTTCACTTTTAATTTTAACCTCTTTAACTCCAGCACGGGTTTGGCTGCTTTGTTGTCCTCCTGGCTTGAGGAGTTTAGGGGGATTTTCATCTCCATGAGGACAAAAAACATTAAAATTTATTATTTTTTCCTCCAGAATTTTAGGAATCCACTCCAGACACAAACAGAGACTGATTTTAAAGCATAGTTAAGTGATGTCTCTTCACTTCATAACATAAAGATACTGTTAAGGAAAGCAAAAATGGGAATGAGATAATGAATAATTTTATTTTGAGTACTATCAATAACAAAATCTGTTGAGTTTGTAATACTCACTGAGTTTCAGCTGGAAAAAGTGAAGTATCATGGTGGGATAATTCAAAATGAGCAGAGTAAAAGCACTTGAAGGTTGCTTCAGGCAGGGAGTGCTATCAGAGCTGATCTAGTTCTGCAGGTCACAGTGTTATCTCCAGAAGACTTCCAGATAACTTCATTAAAATCACTATAAAGTGTATCCCTGTCAGGTCTGCTATCTCCTCTACCTCACTTCAGCCTTTTATATTGGATTTGGAGAGGGGTTAAGTGTTTATCCCTTATCTGAAGAAAACAAAACAGGAAAAAATCAATAATGGAATAATTTCAGGTCGAGTTGTCCTGATTCCAGTTGTTTCTCCATTCTAAATTTATAAGGTGGTCTTGGGTGAAATTGAAGTGTGTGGACTGAAAGAATTTAACTTGAATTAAATTCAGTTATACTCTGCCAGGCCAGTTTATGTTGCGTGGGCACTTCTTTGGCATCAGGAGGAAGATTCTCAGTAAATCCAAGTATTTACTTCTGGAGGAAAACCCGGTGGCAGAGCAGACTCATGGCTCTTGTGTGTCTTTGTGAGTCAAAAGCTGAGTTTGGTGCCTGACTCAGGGAGCAGAGGGGCTGGCAGGGAGCTGCAGAGGAGCTGTTCCCTGAAACAGCACCAATTCCCACACCCCAGCCCCGGGCAGCATTCTTGGGAAGTGAGACTCCCAGAAGCTGGCTCGTATAAAAGCAGGGGAGGTGCAGGAGGGAGAGGCACCTTCCCCACTTCTCCCTGTGCACAGGGGGTGAAAGGTGGGGGGATTTTCCTTCCCATCCACTCCCCAGCCCTGCAGCTGCCAGGAATCCTGTGCTTTGCTCCTGCTTTGTTGGCAGGAGGGGAATTCCTGGGATGTGATGTGGGAATCCAGAGCTTCCCCCTGGAAGGCCTGGGATCCTGGCAGGGGTCAGGAACCCCCCTGGACAGAGCCCCCAGAGACACTGGCTGTGATCTCTGCCCATGGAAAAGAGTTTTCAATCTTACAGGATGAATTACCAGCTCTGAGTGTTTGATATAAGTAATAATTAAGTGTGGAATGGGTGCAAAAGTAAAATTTTAGGATTCTAGATTAGGGGTTCATAGGGGACAAGATGGAGGAAATTGGGTATGTCTTGTCCTTTTTCTCCTTCTCCATGCCCTCCATGTTTCACTGTGGTGTTGGCATTTTTCTGTTGGTTCAGGCTGGGGACACACTGTCCAACGTAGGTGACAGATATTGGCACGTTATTGTAAATCCAGCACAGGTAGTTTGTGGTATTTAATGTTTGTACCATCCCACTGAGGGCAGAGCCCCACACGCTGCCCTGCAGGACAGAGCTGCGGCAGGGCAGCAGAACATGTTAGAGATAAACAGAATAAACACCCTTGAAACCAGCACAGACCAATTATGGCTTCTGCTTTGGCAGCAGGGCTGACAGACAGAGACTTTCTACAATCTCAGAATCATCAATACCTCAGATTCCGACAATGTGACAGTGCTGCAGAAGTCCTGGAATCCTTTTTCCACTGCTCCCACCCCCGTTTTCATCTGTGCCACCCCGGGGGAGAGCAGGGCTGGCTGGGCAGGCAGTGTTGGCTCTCAGGGCTGCTCATTTCCATGGGGAGTTGCTGCAGAGCCGTGGTGGTTTGGGAGCAGTGTGAGACAGTGTGAGGCTCCCTGCTCTGTTACCATTCCTACCTTAAAGCTCATTCCAGAAAAGCCAGTCTGGCTGGGACAGCATCTTTCCAATTCCCTGTGTTCCCTCCATACCAAACAAATCTGCCATTCTGGAATCTGATTTGGGAGAGCTCTGATTTCTTTCTCAAGGTGCCAGTGTAGGAATTTTGCCTGCTGTGCCTTTAGAAATGGAAATTGAAAAGCACAGCAAGCTGTTAGAAATAAGGGTGATGGAAATCACCCTGGAAAGCATTTCCAGAGTTCCTGAAGTCACTTTTCAGAATGAGGGCTCTGCTGTGGGAGGATTTCTGCAGCTGCTCCTAGGAAAGTGCTTGGCAAGGAATATGCCAGGGCTGCTGCTTGCTTGTGCTTTTTCTTTCTCTTGTCCCATTTCCAGGTGAACAAAAGACATCCCCAACATTCCACCTGGTCCAAATGCTGCACCTACTAAATGAATTTGTGTTCACATTATACTGAGTATACCAGGAAACAAAACAAGTTGTTGATGTCTCACAGCAAATTAAAGGAGGGGCACATTCAAACTCATCTCCTGGGATTTTGGTCCTGGACTGGTCTTTATTTCAGAAAGTTCAGGACAGTTAAATGTGGCTGGTACTTCTTCACCTCTGCTGTTCTGGCTCTGTGCAATATTTCACCTGGAGCAGAAGGTGCCCCAGGAGGAGATTTTGGCTGAGAATTGGGAGAACTTTTCCTGATCAATAAATCTGTTTTAGCCCAACTCTCTCATATTACTCTGAGGGATTTGTGCTTCTGTTTTGGAGCAGCTTGTAGAAGCTGTGAAGTGTTTCTGGTGCTGCAGCAGCACCTGACAGCCCTCTGAACTACTAATGCAGACAAAAGAAATCCTGCTCATTGGTGTGGGTACTGCTGCTCTCCTTCAAAAGCTGCTTTTCCCTCAGGTTGTGTCTGATGTGCCAGAGCTGTCTGCATCTCTGTTTTGTGTAGCTGGAGCAATAAGCTTGACCTGTCTTGACATCCCTCTCCATTTCTGGACTGCTGCCCCGTTCCTGTCTCTCCTCTATATTTTCCCTGTGCTGTGTTGTCCCCGTTCCCTTGAGTACTGTGTGATTATCTGGGAGGATAAGATTTTGGACTGATGCCTGGCTCGTGTCTCTTTGTGTTGCCCTCCCTGTGCTGCCCCTGTGTCCCCAGGCCTGGTGCAGAGGTGTGTGGTGATCCAGCGGGATGAGAACGGCTTCGGGCTGACGGTCAGCGGGGACAACCCCGTCTTCGTGCAGTCCGTCAAGGAAGGTGAGAGCACCCCCCAAACTGCCACCTGTCCATGGGCAGCAGCAGGGAAGGTACAGGTTGGATATTAGGAAATAAACTTGTCACCAAAAGAATAATAAAGCACTGGGATTGTCTTCCCAGGGAGGTGGTGGAATCACCATCTCTGGATGTGTTTAAAAAAGACTGGACTTGGCATTTGGTGCTGAAGTCTAGTGAGGTGTTAAGGCATGGGTTGGACTTGATGATCTCAGAGGTCTCTTCCAACCTCATTATTCTGTGATTCTGGAAAGGTCTGGGAGCTGGAGCAGAAGACTCCCAAACTTCTGCCCGGGGTGGCTGCAGCTTGGGAAGAGATGTGCAAGGTCAGGGTTGAGCAGTGAATTTCTTGCTCTGTACCTACTCCCGGGCAGCCACTGGCAGAATGAGGACACAGCCTCAAGCTGTGCCAGGGGAAGTTTAGGTTGGACATCAGGGAAAAATTCTTCACTGGAAGAGGGATTGGGCACTGGAATCCCCTGCCCGGGGAGGGGATGGAGTCACCATCCCTGGAGGTGTTTAAAACAAGACTGGACGTGGTTTGGTTGATGAGGAGGTGTCAGGTCACAGGTTGGACTTGGTGATCTCAAAGGTCTTTTCCAGCCTGGTTCTTTCTGTGATCTGGTGGGTTTGGAGCTGACCTTCTGCATCCCAGGGGGAGGAAGTGACTCCTTAGGATGTGGGAGGATCATGTCCTGGTGCATCCACTGCCAGCTGAAAGCAAAACTGCTCTAGACTCGATACCCAGGGATTTTACTGATAGAGGAAGTTTGGCTGAGTGCAGGAGTATTTTGCACGTTTTACAGAAGTCTTAAAACCATTTTTGCTATAAATGATTGTATTGAAACGGGAACTGAGTGATTTCTTGCCTCTCCAGATGGAGCAGCCATGCGGGCTGGAGTGCAGACAGGTGATAGAATTATCAAGGTAAGGGCATGGAAACTGGGAGAGGAATGGGTCCTTTGTCTTAAATGAGCTCTTTTGTCTTAAATGAGTTCTTTCTCTAAAAAAAAAGGCACTTATGTGTCTGCTGTGGTGTTTGCATTAGGAATGATCTAAGCCTCAGTGTTCTGGGGCTGACTCTCCTCCAGATCCTCGTTTCAGAATTTTATGGACAAGTTCAGCATCCTGCCAGGTTCAAGTATCACAAATACAATAAAACCAGAAATGGCAGGGAAGAGAAGGAAAGCAGAGTTGTTAATAATGATCTGTAAATAAACAGCCTGCCTGAATTACTGTTTTCCCCTTAACTGCTCCCACATTCATGTTCTTTTTTAGTCCCAAGCAAGTAAGAAATCAAGTCAGTAACTTAAAAGACTCTGTAAACTATTGCTGCAAAATGCTACGGCAGCTCCTGACACAGATGGAGCTGGGATTTCAACCAGGCATTGAAATTAATTAATTAAATTAGCTACCCTGTTGTTTTTCTGCCCAGGAAGAGATGGATTGCCTTTTTTTTTTGTTTGTTTGTTTGTTTGTCTGCCTGCTTGAGTTCTTTTGGTGTGTGCACAAGTTTTCTTATTACAGAGCTCTGCTCACTGAGATAAACTGTTAGAAGGATAAATAATTTATCTGGTAATGTCCTGAAAGAGGCAGTAATGGAGATGGGGGAGAGGAAAATGCTGCTGTTCTTCTGGAATGTGTGGAATTGTTTGGAAATCAGGAGCCAAGCACAGAATTTTCTCTCCTCCCTGCCAGGTGAATGGGACTCTGGTAACACACTCGAACCATTTGGAGGTGGTCAAGCTGATCAAGTGTAAGTAAAGGCAGGTGGCTCTTCTGTCACCTTGAAAGTGTCACAGGAAAGTGTCACTGCCAAGTGATAAGGGTGAGGTCATTGCTGAGAGATAGAGTGTGTGAAACAGGGAAGTGAAATTAAAATTATTTTGACATCCTGAGTTTAAGCTGATACATTCTCCTGTAGCTTCTCCTTAACTTAATGTTTGAATTACCACCAAGCCTTGCCTGGGTGCTTCCCCATCTTTTATTTCCACCTTAAATTCCACAGCTGGGCAGGCACTTAATGTGCATTTCTGTGTGATGCCTGCACAGCACTACAGGAAACATGTTCCTGGTGGATTTTCTTGTATGAGGAAGGAGGTGGTGATGGTTTATTTTGTGTGTGTGTGCACTGCCAGTGCAACCTGCTGGACTGGAAGTTGGGACTGCTTGCTTTTATCAAGGCTGAAAATCATGGAAGTTTTGGGAATATGTGAAATTTAAGCAGATTTTTACATCAGGCAGTGCTCTCAGGCTCAGTGGTTTGGAGGAGGAATGGTGTGAGCTGTGTGTGCAGGGTGAGGGAAGTCAGAGAAGCAGAGCAGTGTCCCCGTGTGTGTGATGTGTGTGACCTGAGCCTGTCCTTGTGTCCCCACAGCGGGTTCCTATGTAGCTCTCACTGTCCAGGGGCGCCCTCCAGGGTCACCCCAGATTCCCTTGGCGGATTCCGACGTGGATCTGGCAGCTTTTGGGCATATGTCTCCCATCATGGCATCCCCCCACTCGCCTGGCACGTCAGGGAATGCAGAAAGGATCACCAGCCCCGTGCTCATGGGGGTAAGCTTTGGAGCTCTCTTCCCAAAAGGAGAAATGGACTCGGGTGGTTTTGGCCTGAATTTTCCTTGAATTTTGGAATTTTCGAATTTTTCAGATTGGCATTAGGATATTTATATAATAAATATTTATTATATTTAATTATTGCAGGTATTTATTCACTTATGAAAAAGCATTTTGCAAGTAAAAATATGCAGTCCTATCTGAGACAATAGAAATATTATTTTTATACTGTTATAGCTGTTATACTGTTACAGCTGTTTGTACTGTTATATCTGTTCAAAATTAAGAAAGAATACATAGGATAGGGTTGGAAATTTGAATTGCTTCTCACAGGGCTTTTCAGAGCCTGTTTTGAGGAAGTAGGTGACAAATGTGCATGCCCATTTTCCTTATTTGCCCAAGAAACCCAACCCTAATCTCTCTGTACTTCCTAGGAGGAGAATAACATTGTCCACAGCCAGAAGGTGGAGATTCTGAGGAAGATGCTCCAGAAGGAGCAGGAGAGGCTGCAGGTACTGGAGTTGTGCAGGTTGGAGGGAGCTGGGGGAAGTGATGCAAAGAGGGGTTGTTAATTTAATTTATTAGCAGAGCTGTGTCAAACAGACTTTGTGTAGCAGCTCCTTGGGTGTGCAGGTGTTAATTTAAAAGACACAATTCCTTTGCAGATCCTGCAGGAGGAGTACAGCCGAGCCCCCTCCACCCGCCTGCTCAAGGAGATCCAGGAGGCAAAGAAACACATTCCTCAGCTGCAGGAGCAGCTGTCCAAGGCCACGGGCTGCACTCAGGTGACACGGGCTCATCCTGCTCTGGGGAGTGCTCCCAGACACAGTCCAGGGGCTGGGTGGTGCCTCAGGTTTAGCTTTTCTATTTTTCACATTCTGTGCTGCTTTAGTGTGTGGGTCTGAGCTTCACATGAGGGGATGCTGAGCTCTCTGCACAGAGCAGGGAGACAAAACAATTCCTGCTCCAGCTGGGCACCAAGGACAAATGATCCAAATCTCATCCCAGGAGCACAAACACCGTGGGCTGGAGAGAGAAAAACAAGCAGGGTGGGACTGCCTGGGCTAAAGCTGGAATGGGACAATGAACTCCAAGGTGCCAATGGAGCAGAACTGATCCCAGGGAGAGCCCCCGGGAGCGCTCGTGCATTTTGGGACCATTTTGGTTCATTTTGTGGCCATTTGGTTTCATCTTGGGCTCATTTTGGGACCATTTTGGTTCATCCTGGGTGCAGCCCTGGCTGGGCTCTGGTGCTGCCCAAGGTGGATCCATGGAGGAGATGCTTTTAATAAATCCCTGCTTTATTCTTTAGCTCTGCCCAGCTCTGTTCTAGCTCAGCCTGCTCAAGGCATCATGAGCAAGCTGCAGTTGCTTGGACAGGCAGGCTGCACCCTCTGCAGCTGAGATTTGAATTTGGCACTGTCTTCTTAATCTTAATTCATTTAGCAGTGGGCTCTCATCTCCAAAAAACCTGCTTTAAAAGAACAAGCACAAGCAGTGATGTGTTTATTATCTGTCAGTGCAACTTAAAATACACCCATGAAGTCATTCTTGGAAGCTTTAAACAATTTTGTTTTCACTTTTGAAAAAAACTAATTTAGGTTGTGTCATTTTTCCCTTTTCCCCTGTGTTAAAAGTGCTGAAAATTTGGTGTGGTTGTTTTATCTCAGAAAAGCGCTGCAGCCTTTTCTAGATAAATTAAGGTTTTATGAATAATGTGTGCTACCTGGCTTCTCAAAGAGTTGATTTTTAAGGATGGTCTCTTGAAATATTCTGCTTTCATCTTTGCAGGATGGAGTCCTGTCCTCCAGGTCTGTGTCAGAGTCACTGCAGATCAGCGAGGGCGAGGCAGAGAGTGGGGACAGTGGCAGCAAACTGGATTTCAGTGGTGACAGCCCCTCCAGACCCAACAGTGACATTGCTGATGTGAGTCTGGGGCAGCCCCAGGGCTTTGCTTCTCTCCCTCTTGCTTTGGGTTTCCTGGGCAGATTCTGTCTGTGTGTTGTCCTGTGCATTACTGGCCCAGGCTCCTCAGTGCCCACCAAAACCTTTCCCCTATGAAAACCTCTTCTACTGGACTGGTGTTAGAGACTGGGAGAGAATAAATTCTGGGGGTTTTATGCAGGATTAGATTGTCCTGGCATTAATCCCTGTAACCAGGCAAAGATGGATGTTTCTCAAAACTCACTTGCCAGTTAGAGCATCTTTGAAGGGAATATTCCAACTGTAGCACCATGACTCAGATCCAGGCAGCTTGCCCTGAAACTGGGAAAGATCCTTCCCTCCACCAAATCAGCTTCAGTTCCTGCCACCAGCAAAGGCTCTTGGTGTGTTCATTCATTAGTTATCAATCTCTGTCTCCTGTGCTCTCCCTTGGTGCCTAATCCTTAATTAAGCCACTGTCTGATTAGTGCAGGGGAACTGAGACTCTCTGCTTGGATTTAGCCTAAGTTTGTTGATTAACTTAAGGAGCTAAATTTATCCCAGCAGTTGGAAGTGAAAGGGAGGTGGGTGAGATGGAAGCATCCACGACTCTGTTTTGAAACATTCCAACTCCAAATCTGACCAGATCCCACTCGGCGTTTGTGTTTAATAAATGCACAACAAAATTCATAATTATCTTCCTAATAATCATCATGCTCTCAGTGCTGGGGATGGTATTTGATCACTGCAGGTGATTGGCACACCAAACATTCCAGCTTTTCAATCCAGCTCTGAGGAATTTATGGATCAGGGGTGAAAGAAACCCTTGGAAGTGGAAAGAGTTCTGCAGCTGGGAAAAAGCCAGGCTGGAAAGCAACAGCTGGAGCAGTGGCCTGGCTGGGAAAACCTTTGGACACACTGAAGATGAGCCAGCAGCACGTGGGTTTTGCAAATAAGGCTCTGCTGGGCTTCCTGAGCAAGGGGATTGCTGGCAGATGGCAGGACAGCGCTGAACTGTGAGAAAAGGTGGAGAGAGCAAGGAAAAAGCCAAGGGCTGGGGATTTTACAGCTCTGCTGTTGCTCACTGCCACCAGATTTCTCACCAAAACTTCTGCATTCACTTGAGTTTTGGGGTTTTTTTTTTTGTTTAACTGCGCATGTAGGACACAGATTTTACTCTGGTTTTTCACACCTCCTTTTCCTGTGAGAAAGGAGAAGTTTTTTGGCTGTTGTGGCTGACGAACTGCACTGTGCAGTTCTCCCTTCCCTGGATTTGCTGGTACTTACCAGAACTGAACTTCCCTCTTTTGCAGAGCCCTCGCAGTGGCCTGAAGGAGAGGATTTATCCAGATGAGAGCCCAGAAAAGGCTGAGCTTCAAGACACTGTGAGTACACAGCATCGAGTGTCACAACAGCACCTCCTCTAACAGGCCCATTAAAATCTTGCTGCTTTCCCCCACTTTCTAAATGGAGCATGCCTGAACTTTGCTTTAGAAAATAAAATGCAATTAAAGTGGTGCAGGGAAAGTTAATTAGCAGAGTAAATGTTTATGGAGCTTAAGAGCAGGGTCATTTAGAGGCAAGAAATACCTGATCAGCAGTAAAACAGCTGGGTCTGGAATAAGGAGAGCAGTTGCACATGTTTTATTCCTTGAGTCCAGCCCTTTTTTTTAGCATGTTCACTCATTTGGGGGCTGCCATTTCCAGCAGGGCTACAAGTGGAGCTCAGCAGGAAGTGCAGAGCTGTGTGAGCACATCATCATCCTTGGGGTGACTCCTGGATTCTCCTCCCCCTCCTCTGCTTCTCCTCCCAAAGCCCCATTTCCCAAGGAGTTTTGGTCCATAGCCACGTGCCCAAAAGCATCCCTGCTTGTCCTCCCAAAGCCCCATTTCCCCACTTTGGTCCCCATTGAAATCTCAAGATTTCGTTTCCTTTCGGGAAAAGAAATGAAATCTTGCAAAACAGAAAAGAAAGGCTCCCAAAGACTCTGGGAAGGTGATATGATCAAGTGAAATGAGAAGAAAAAAAAAAGGGAAATTTGGAAATGCAGTGAGCATAAGAAAATGGTCTGGGAGCAAATGAGTTGCAGTGGAAAGGGGCAAAAAATGCCAAAAGGAAGCTCAGAGATGCTGCAAAATCAGGGGGAAAATCAAGGGGGAAGAGAGAACGCTGAGGGGAAGACAGATGTGAAATGGCATGGAGAGGGAAAATAAAATTGAAAAACCTCTGGCCAAGCCAAAGCCAGGCTGCAGGGGATGCAGGAGGACAAGGCCAGGGATGGCTTTAGGGAAGGTGCTTGGTGTGCTCCTGGCTGCAGGTGGTGCAGCTGCCCTCCATCCCCCTGCTTTGCTGTTTGGGAATGTTTGGATTGTGGGAAGGGGATCCAAGGTGGAGGTTTTGAAGAGTTGAAATGATCAGAACATCTCCAGGTTTTTCTGTGAGGGACAATTCCAGCTTTGTGCTTTTCTTCCTTCTCTTCCCAGGACTCCCAGTCCAGTGTTGGCAGTCCCCTGTCCCGAGTGGGGACTCAGATCATTGGAGCAGAGGATGATGATTTTGACACGGAGCAGGAGCAGGTGGGAATGACTTTTTAACCTTTTTTCCCCACCCACCAGAATTCTCTTCCCCTCTTCCTAAACTGCTGAGTACTTCTTAAATGGTGAAATAAGAATTTAGGAGTGGCATTCCTGTTGTTGCTGATCTTTCCAAATAGAAATATTTGGGGAATTTATGCCAATATCCATCTTTGAGTCTGTTATTTTTCCTTCTTCTCCAAACTTAAAGCTTTCTAGGAATGAATTTATTTCCTTTTGTTAAATCGTGAATTCTTGTCACAGCAGCACAGCTACCACATGTTTATTCTGAATTATTTCATCTGTCCTTTCTCTTATTCCTGAATAATTCAGATGTAATTCCCTGTGTCCCTGCAGATTAATGGGCAGTGCAGCTGCTTCCAGAACATCGAGCTCCTGAAATCCCGTCCTGCTCACCTGGCTGTCCTCCTGCACCACGTGGTGTCCCAGTTTGATCCTGCAGCACTGGTGAGAAGCTCTGGAATTGTTTCCTGGCTCACATTTGGGAATCTTCACCAGAATTTACCAGACCTTGTGTAGCACTCACTGCCATGACCTGGCAAGGAGGGAAATGCAGACTCTGTGCAGGCCTGGGGGTGATAAATCCTCATTTATTTCTTCAGATAAAGGGAGAAACAAAAAAAGAATTGTTCCCTTTACGTTTGGCTGCTTACAAATAATTATTTATCGCCTGAAAGCCTCTCATTCCACCCCAAGGTGTGGGATTAGTTGTCTACAGGGAAGGTCTGACCTCTCTGTGCTCCTCTTCCAGCCCCTTCCCTCTCCCCCCATTGCCAGGGCACCTCCCCGAGGAGCAGGGAAAGCTTTCCACCCAGCACTGCTGAATTCCTTGAAATACTGCAAAGAAAACTTGTAGTTTTCATGGTTTTCACCTCATTTCTTGCCCTCCTGTTGCCCACAGCTGTGCTACCTTTACACAGACCTGTACAAACAGACCAACTCCAAAGAGACCCGGCGTGTTTTCCTGGAGTTTTACCAGTTTTTCCTGGACAGAGCTGCAGTAGGTTTCTCTTGTTTTCCTCATTTTTACACACCCAACAAGCTGACTTTGACCTTTCTCCACTCACCTGAACTGAGAAAAACTGAGGAGGTTAAAGCCCTCCAAAAAAAAAAATAGTTTAAAAAATGAAAATTGGAATAATGTTTGATAAATAACTTCCTACAATGTAAAAATCTAATAAAAGTTTTAAGGTTTTTTGGTTGAAATGTTACCAGGGAATGAATGGCCTCAATGCCTGGTAACAAAGTAAATCCCAGGGGATTTGTTGTTGATAGGAGAAATAATTTTGTGGTAGGTAAGCAAGTTCTGGTTCTTCTACGATGTGGCTGTTCCAAGGATTGGGAAGTTTTATGTCTCTGTTGGAAAGCTGAGAAAATTGTTTGCTGTCATGAATTAAACTCCCAGAAACTGCAGCAGAGCTTGTATACCACATTTTCATCTTATATAGAATATATACACGGGAGTCTCCCCTTTTCAAACCAGTGGATGCTCAGATTGGATGATTTTGGCTTTTGAGGGAATTTCCTGGAGTGATTTGTGTGTTTTATTGTGGTGCTGGTTTCTCTGTGGGTTCTCCCAGCCTTTCTTTCCTTTTGCAGAACCTGAAAGTCCCAGTTCCAGAGGAAATCTCCTTGGAATTAGGTAGGATGGGAGTGAAGGGTGGGTTAATTCAGGGAAATGACTTTATTGAAGTCATTTATTGAAGGTGGGGACTGTTCCCAGAGGAACAATTGGTGAATTTTCTGCCTCCCAGACAGGAGAAGGCCAGAGCTCCTCCCTGAAGAGCTGCACCGCCAGTTCATCCAAACCATGCAGGATAAAGTCTGTCCAGAGGTTCAGAGGAACCTGGAAGATTTCAGGTACCAAAAGCTCTCTGTGGAGTTTTCCTTTTAGTTCATATTTGATTTCAGTCAACAGGGAAACCTGAGGGAGATATAATTCCTCTTGGATTGCATAAGGATATACCAGGAATATACCCTGCAGCCAATCCTTAAATCAAATCATCAATTGCAATCCTAGGGCTTGGATTCTTCATTCCTGGAACCTGTGTGAGGAAATGTCAGAGTATTTTTTTTTTTTTTTTGAGGTTTTGTTGTATAAATCTCTCTTACTGATTGTGTTTATAATCAGATTTTTTTTTTTTCCTGTCCCTATTTTCCTTCCTTCTCCCCTCTGGGCAGGGAATAATCCCCTTTACAGAGCTCAGTCTCAAGCTGCACCAAGGGAAATTTAGGCTGGATATCAGGAAGAAGTTTTTTACAGAAAGGGAGATAAAGTTCTGGAATTGCTGCCCAGGGAGGTGGTGGAGTCACCATCCCTGGGTGTGTTTAAAACAAGCCTGGATGTGGCACTGGGTGCCAGGGTTTGGTTGAGGTGCTGGGGATGGGTTGGACTCCATGATTTTGAAGGTCTCTTCCAACCCAGTGATTCTGTGAATTCTGTGAGCTGTCACAGGCATGCAGTAGAAGTTGATAATTAATTTGCTTTTTCCTGTGGAGTGCTAAGAGCTCCATGCCAAGCTCAGCAATTATTGTAAATGCAGGTGAACTCGGTGGGAAGAAATGCTGATGTTTGACTCCAGAAGGCTGAATGATTTCTTTATTATCACTGTACTCTAATACATTAATATACTATTTAAAGGAGATACTATAACTACATACTTACTTTTCTTACTATTATATTTAACTCTCTAACAACTCGTGCCCCTCTGTCGAGAGTTTAGACACGGGTGGATCTGATTGGACATCAGGCTCAAATAATCCTCTCTAAAATTTAATTAAGCAATTACCTTTTTCCTAAACACATTCTAGATGGGAAAAACAAGGAACAGAAACAGAAATTGTTTTGTCTTTCTTCTTTCTATACTCTATGAAAAAATCCTAAAAGAGAAAAGAACGTACCTACCACAAGCAACGAACTATTCCATACCTAAACCCCTCACTTTAAACACCCCAAAAACCCCCGTGTGATGACACCCTGAGTGCCAGGGGGTGCAGGTGATGCTCCCTGTGCCCTTTTGCAGGCAGAAGAGGAGCATGGGGCTGACCCTGGCCGAGGGGGAGCTGACCAGGCTGGACGCGGAGCGGCTCCGCGACCGCAACGCCGTGGAGAAGGAGAGGAGCTGTGCAGAGCAGATCCTGGCCAAAATCGAGGAGGTCCTGTAAGTGACAGCAAACAGGGAGGTGGGGGAGAAAAAAAGAACGTTGGAGGTGCTGCCTCAGACGTGGAAAAAGCGGGATGGAGGAATTGGGGGGTGGAATTTGGCGTCGCTGTGTTTGGATTTCTGCCCCGAGTGCCCTGCCCTCAGCCAGGGAAGCGAAGGCTGTTTTGTCCAGGAGGCTGCTGTGAAATAGTGCAGGGAATGCTGCCTTTGTCAGCTTGTGCATTATTAGATCAGAGCCCTTTTCCTGTAGAAACAACAGCTTCACAACCCATTTTCTCCTTTTTAATGTGGGCTGAATCCAATTGCCACAGCTGAACCTTCACTTTGGATTCTTGATTTTATTTTTTTCCCCCTGCTGGGACTGCTGAACATTCTGAAGGACACTTCAACACAGCTACTGATGCTCTGGGTGGATGGGACCGGGTGTTAATTGGGTTTTGAGTTTCATTTTGAAACCCTTTCTTGTTTTTAGGATGACATCTCAGCCTCTGGAAGAAGACAAGAGGTAATGGGAGCTGGGAGCTGGGGCTGTGTTGTGCTGATGGAACAAGACAGCCCTCTCCCGGCTGTTCTCCAAACTCCTGAATCCCCTGGCATAAATCATTGCAATTCAGAGCATCAGCCTCTTCTTTGCTGATGTTTGTTGCCTGTGTTTCACATCTTAAAAATTACTGTCACTGCGAGTTTGTGTTTATTTTTGTTTTGTGTTGTAACTGCTTCAATCTGCTCTAACATTTATTTTCTCTGTGTGCCTTGTCCTGTTCAGTTTTTATCCGAGCAGCTTTTCCTCCTTTTTGCAGTAACCTTTTACTGCTGCTTGTTTTTGCCATAACTCAAAGCTATAATGTGGCATCAAATATGGTTTTAGTGTAGAATTTTAGGACCTTCTGTGTAATTCTCAGAATTGTATTTTCACCTCCCGGGCTTCTGTGTGTTTTATCATGGAATTATTTGGGTTGGAAAGAACCTTAAAGATGATTTAATTCCAATCCCTGCCACGGGCAGGGACATCTTCCACTGTCCCAGGTGCTCCAGCCTGACCTTGGACACTGCCAGGCTCCAGGGGCAGCCACAGCTTCTCTGAGCACCCTGTGCCAGAGCCTCCCCATCCGTATATTCCACCTTTATTTACTCCATAATTTACAAAACTAATAATTCTGATGTTGGCTGAGCCTTCCCATTATCTGTGGGAATTTATTTCCGTTCATTTCATCACTTTAATTTAAAAATGAACTTCTCAACAGAACCTCGACTTGAATCTTATTGACTCAGTGTATTTTCCCCAATATCTTTCCCTTAAACCTCAGTGGTTTTTCTGTGTTTGGCAGCTCCACGATGCAATATGTGATCCTCACCTACATGAAACACCTGGGAGTGAAAGTCAAAGAGCCTCGGAACCTGGAGCAGAAGCGGGGCCGGATTGGTTTCCTGCCAAAAATTAAGGTAGTGCTGCCTGGCCACAGAGGATTTGTGTGCAATTCAAACCCCAGCTGTGCAGGAAAAAAAAATTAAAAATTGCTGTGATTTTTATGTTTCAAGAGGATCTGGGGTTGCTGAACTGCACAGCAAACCTAAGAGCTGAAATTGGGTTCTGCATCTATTGGAAATAATTGGAATTATTTCCTTTATCTCTGAATAAATTCAGAGATTTCACCTTGTTTTTGGCTGTTTTAAAACTTTGGGTGAGGAATATTTCAGAGGACACAACCTTGAACCACAGGAGGGTCTCATTAAAACTGTTGCCTTGTTTACTTCAGTTTTTTTCTGGAGATACTTACCCAAACCCTCTTGGTTTGTGATGCAGAAGAGCTCTTCTCCCTGCCACTTTTCCACTCCCCCACTTTTCCACTTATATAATGAATATTTCCACCAAAACTTCATCCCTGTGGGTGTCATCCCTTGTCTCCCACAGCATGGGGGTGTATCTGGTCACAGTAGCTGCTTATTTTCATCAACATTTCATCCTCCTTTGAAATATTAAGAGGGTTTCCAGCAGTTCTGCACTAACCAAAAAGGTGAAATAGTGTGAGCTTCGTGCCCTCTCCCTTCTGCAGCTTTAAAGAACTAATTAAAATCTCAGTAAACAGCTGGATTTGAAGCAGTGAGCAATGTTTGCCTTTCTTTACCTGCAGCAAAGCATCAAGAAAGAGAAAGAAGGAGAGGAGAAAGGGAAGAGGAGAGGCTTCCCCAACATCCTGGGCCCCCCAAGGAGACCAAGCCGACATGACAGCAGTGCAAGTATGTCAGCCCAGGAAAGCCCTGTGCCCTGCTGGCCTGGGGGCCACAGAAAATCCCTGCTGCCTCCAAAAATGCATGCCAGGAACCCTATTTCCCCCATCCCCCTGCTCCTAAACCTCATCCCACCCATCCTGCCTCACCCAATCCCAAGTCCTCACAATTTGGATCCCTCTTCTGCCAATTCCCTTCCTAGCCTGTCTCACCCTGAGGGGCTGTGGAATGGAATTTTGGGCTGTGGAATGGGATTTTGGGCCGTGGAATAGGATTTTGGGCTGTGGAATGGGATTTTGGGCCGTGGAATGGGATTTTGGGCTGTGGAATGGAATTTTGGGCTGTGGAATGGAATTTTGGGCTGTGGAATGGGATTTTGGGCTGTGGAATAGGATTATGGGCTGTGGAATGGAATTTTGGGCTGTGGAATGGGATTTTGGGCTGTGGAATGGGATTTTGGGCTGTGGAATCAGATTTTGGGCTGTGGAACTGAATTTTGGCCTGTGCCTGAGGCATTTTGGGGTCGGATTGAATGATTTTCAGTAGAGCTGAGTGATTTGAAACGTCCTGTTGTTAACACCCAGCTGTGGAGGCGCACGGATCTGGTGTGGTCCTGCAGCGCTGCTCCTCTCAGCCTTGCAGCAGGGTGATGATTCTCTCTGTGCAGTTGGCAGGGCCATGGAGATGCAGAAGCCCAGGCACCCCAAGCACTCGCCCACAGCCTCCTCTGTGAGCCCAGAGCCCCCCGAGTCCAGCAAGATGCGCCAGAGCGGCTCCTCCAGCGATGGCACAGATGCCCCTTACCCCCCTGCCAACCCCATGTCCCCCCTGGCCACGGGGCCTTTCGCCTCTCCAGAGGGCAGCAAGGACAGTGACACAGGTAGGGTTGAAGGCTGTGATTTATTAAAAATACGGATATTGATCTAGTGCCGATATCCAACTGTGATAGACAAAAACTCTCTAACAGTTTAAAGTTAGAAAGTGAGTGTTTATTGTGTGTGGGATCGCTCCCAAATCCACACTGCAGCTTCCAGGTGATTACAGAGCCCTTTTATCCATACAAGTATGGAATACACAAAATACAAATACATATTCATCATTTTGGTACATCCCATTCCTCACTTCCTATGCTGATCACTCTAAAAGCCATTCAGCATGTGTGGTTTGCTCCTTGAAATGGGTCGGTGTCCCTTTCATGGGGAGGGGTCCCAAAATGAGGAAGTCAATGAAGTCTTCCTCCTTCTGACCTTTCTACCTTTTCAATGCCAATATGACAAATGAACTCTTGGTAGAACTCCCATTCCTTGTCTTCAGTTGGTTTCAGAACAGAGGAGGCCCACAATTGTCTTATGTTCCTAAAAGAAATTTGTCAGTTTGTGTATTCTTCATTATAAACGCAGCTAACTCAACATTGTGCTGACGAGCAATCAATTATTAGTTAACTACTAACTCCTAACTTCATCAAGGCCTACTCATTTATTTTAATTAACTCTAGTAAGGCTTATCTCTAACTCAAATCTTAGCTCCTCTAAAATCTCTAAATTCCTTAAAATTTATGTTTCAGCTGTGCTGTGGACAGGATGTGCATGATAATAAAAGGGTTTTAAGATCATGGGGATTTAGGGTTAGAAGGAAAATTAAGCTTAGTAGGCCCTGAAAAAAATAAATACCCTGGGTACATAAAGGTCTTGTACCTTGCTAGAACTGCACTTGTGTAGCTGGTACATGATAAATGATATAATTGTTAGATGTGATGATTGTTTAGTACTTAAATATAATTACTGTTGAAACTGTGGTCAGGGGCCTGAGAAAGATCACGAGAAACTCATGTCGATGTATACAATAGAACAATATAAGTTTAATAATTAATATGTAAGTTATATAAGGATAGAATATAAAATACGTTCAGCTTGAAAGCCGTGTCGGAGTCAGATTTGGGTCTGTACCCCTGATTCCCAGAGCTCTCAATAAAAGCACCTGCAGATAATCATATCCTGTGTGTTCCTGAACGCTGACGTGCAGAGCACTGATGCAACAAGCTGGGCCAATGAGGCAATGCTTTGATGTCATTCGAGCTGCTCTTCCTCAGCTTAATCAGCTTTCCTCAATTAGGGAATCTTGCCACGAGCAGCAGTGGTTGTTAGTGGGTTCTGCCAGCATGGCATTGGATCATCCAACAGGAAAAACCCACCAGGTGCCACCTGAAGCTTTTGTCACTGAGATTTGTTGGTAGCAGCCTGGGAATCGAGTTCCTCCAGCTCTGAAGCTGGAATCAAGAGGCTCTGGGAGGTTCTCTGATGTGCTCTAGCTTGGTCCCTCACCTTTCACATTTATCCTGTGTCCAGGTGTGAAGCAGCCTGGGGAAGCCCCACCTGCCAGTGACTCCATGGATGGCACCCCCCGCACACCCAACAACACCTTTGAGTTCCCATCTCCTCTGGAAAACCTGCAGGAGGAGGAGGGAGAGTCTGAGAGGTAACTCTGGGTGCTGGAGGGAGCCTTGAGAAAGGGTCAGGAGATGCTGGAACGGGTTGGAAAAGATCATTGTAGAGATTCCTTTGTCAGTGTGACTGGCTGCTGAAATTCAGTACATAAAGTGACAGTGCCCTTGTTTGTGTTAAATGTTGTTGGTAGAATTAGGAAACTTTGGCTTGTGTCTCTGCTGTGATAGAAAAGTGTCAGGAGAGGGGACAAAATACTCTGCTTTGGAGCTCAGCCCACCATTCTGAAGTGGTTCTGAGCAGGGAGAAATTCAGGCACAAGCTTCCCTAATGATTCCTGTCCTTCCTTGCAGGATGGTTGACATGGGAACGCCGAAGCCTTTTCGCAAGTGAGTGTGCTTAGAAATGTTTGAACTCGACTGAATTTGTTTGGATTTCAAGCAGTTATGAGGCAGAATGCAGCAGTGCTCATTGTTCTGAGCCAGCAGAGTTGTCTGCATGATCCCTTTTCTTTAAGAACATATGAAATCAGACACTGGCAGCCATTTGTAGGGCAGGTGGAGCGAGTCATATGCAAAAATACCCCTTTGATCTGAGAGTGAAGTGGAACGATTGCTGTGTCCACTGATTGGAGTGGATGGGAGTTGGGTTAAGGAGTAAAGAGATCCCTATTTTCCTTTTCAACCTGTGTTGCTGTTGGTTCTGTACCTGCAGATAGAGGCAAGAAACTGTAACCTGCCCTTTTCACTGCCTTGATATCTGACTGCAAATGATTTCATCTGTGCCATTAACAGGAGGGTTATGAAAACACTGTCAGAACAGTCAATCTGGAAAGGGCAAACTTAGAGAATGTGCCCAAAGGTTCAGGCAACAAAACAGCCTCCAGCTGGCAGGGACAGTGTGTTCATAAAGCTGATTGCTGTACTCAGCTTTTCCCTGAAATGGGAGTTAACTCACTTTTTCCCTCCTCCCATCAGGATGGACAGTGTTGGCTTTGCAGATGTGCAGAGTGAGGATGAGCTCTATGACTTCGACATGGACATGGACCCTCCCAACTGGCAGCAGCTTGTGAGCAGGGAGGTGCTGATGGGGCTCAAACCCTACGAAATCAAACGTCAAGAAGTGATAAATGGTGAGATGGAGGTTCTGTCCTGCCTGGCCAAGCTCAGTGTTGAAACCTTCCCCTGCAGCTTTGAAGTTGTTAAAAATTTGCAATTAGGTTTTTCCTCAGTGATCTTGTGAAGTAGCGGCTGGAGAATTGTAGAACTTTTGCTTTGAAGAGTTCTTAGCTGTGAAACTCATGCTTCTTACTGGGAAATAACCTGAGGTGAGATTGATCCAGTCCTTAGAGGAGAAATAAACAATATCAAGTGGTTATTAAATATTAAGGTGCTGAAAGGCCAGTTTTTTAATATGTTCTATGAAAGAAAACAAGAAAAGCTTGTTTTTCTGGGAAGCAGGGGATGGAAATGCTCCTCCCAAACCTCAGCAGATTTGAGCTGCAGCTCCTGTAGAAACCTCTGCGTGGATTTACGAGCTCAGATCTGTTGGTTTGGGTAAAGGATGGAATTTTACAAACAATTCAAACATGGAATTACAGCCTGGAATAGGGACCAGGGAGGGAAATGCTGCTGAGGGAGCAGCTCTGAGCTGACCTGTGGCTGCTCTCCCTGTCTCCCCAGAGCTGTTCTACACCGAGCGAGCCCACGTGCGCACGCTGAAGGTCCTGCACAATGTCTTCTACCAGAGGGTCACCAGGGAGGGCATCCTCAGCTCCAGTGACAAGCGGAAAATCTTCTCCAACCTGGAGGACATCCTTGGGCTGCACGGTAGGAGCAGCTGCATGCTGCAATTTTGGCATCCAGTGGCTCAAAAATTGAAGCAAACACAAGAGTTTCACCCAATTCTTGATGTAGAGCAGAATTCTTCAGGGCACTGCCCTGGGCTTGCTTTTGCTCACACTTGTTCTATTTCTGATTCACAAAGATATTTTGATGAGGAATCGTGTGTCCAGTGTTCCTTTCCCTTATCTGTGTTGATTCATGCTTGATGAAAGGAGCAGGGAGCTTTATGAGCCAGGGTTTGAGATGGTTCCTGAAGAGAGCAGAAAACAGATTTATGGAGATTGATCTTTTGGTTTCTGAAGGGTGGTTTAGGGAAAGGACTGCTCACAGTAGGAATTTCAACCACTGAATAATCAGTTGTGTGGCTTTTTGGTTTCTGCATTATTCCTGTTTATAGAAAAATGATACTGAGCCTCAGAAAATGTAAGTTTGGAATGGTTCTTAGGGGTCATTTGAAGCCAGGTGAGACACAAGTGCCAAGGATATTTATTAGATATTCTAAATTTATTAAGTTGCAGGATATTGTTTGTTAGCTAATTAAAATTATTTCGAATCTGATCTTCTCCTAGAATAGCTTTTATGTTAAATGCTGAAAATGAAGCCAGAATTTTAAACGCTATTAATAAAATTTACTTTTTTTTCATTGTTTTTAAGTTGCACTGAACGATCAGATGAAATCTGTCCGAAAAAGGAACGAGACTTCTGTCATTGGCCAAATAGGGGAAGATTTGCTCTCCTGGGTAAAATTCTTTTAATATTTCTTATATTTGAAAATAATGTCTCATGGAATGACCAATAGAGCCAGAGGTTGGAGGAGGTAATTCCCAGCAATGGGAACTGATGGCTGCGAGTTCTGGGGCCAAAACAGAGCTGGAGGATGAGGGGGGAAGGAAAGGAGGAAGAGCTCAGAGGATTTTTCATCTGACTGGAAATAAGAGTCATTTAAGGCACAAGAATAATATCCTTAGGATGTGTGGGTAGAATAGACAGGTACTTTTGGGTACATAAAGGTGAGAGTGGGATTTTGAAAAATGCAGTGGCACGATTTATTTTAGTAACACTGAAATGTGAGCCTGGTGTTGCCTGCGGTGCAGTGAAAAGATGATTAAAAATACTATTTTCTAATCTTAGAGTGTATAAATTTGTCATTTATAGTGCTGTTGCAGGCTTCACTTTTGAGATCTTTATGGAGAGATTTGGCTGCCCCATCTCTGGAAGTGTTCAAGGGTGTTTTGGGGTAGTGGAAAGTGTCCCTGCTCATGATGGGGATGAGCTTTAAAATCCCTTTCAACCCAAACCAGTCTGGGATTCTGTGATGTTGGAGGGCTGGTTTGAGGGGAACTGAAGAGTTTGAGATGTAAAGGTCTCCTCTGGGAAGACAAAGCCTTAAACCAGGGCAGAAATACCTCCTCATTTTTGTTCCTGGTGATCCCAGTCCTGTGTGGCTCTGCCTGCTGAGGGTGGCTCATGCTGAGCTCCAGCCTGTCTAAACTTGGCTTTTTTGGCTTTCTGGCACAGTTTAGTGGAGCAGCAGAGGAGAAGCTGAAACTTGCCACTGCCACCTTCTGCAGCAACCAGCCCTTCGCTCTTGAGGTCATCAAGTCCCGCCAGAAGAAGGACTCACGCTTCCAGACCTTTGTGCAGGTGAGCTTGCCACAGGGCTTTGGGTTTTCTCCAACAGCCTTTGAGTTTTCTCCTCCAGCCTTTGAGTTTTCTCCACCAACCTTTGAGTTTTCTCCACCAGCCTTTGAGTTTTCTCCACCAACCTTTGAGTTTTCTCCATCAGGCTTTCAGTTTTCTCCACCAACTTTTGAGTTTTCTCCATCAGGCTTTGAGTTTTCTCGACCAGCCTTTGAGTTTTCTCCTCCAGCCTTTGAGTTTTCTCCTCCAGCCTTTGAGTTTTCTCCACCAACCTTTGAGTTTTCTCCATCAGGCTTTGAGTTTTCTCTACAAGGCTTTTGGGAGTTTTTTTCACCAGGATTTTGAAAGTTTTCTCCACCAGGCTTTGAGTTTTCTCCTCCACGCTTTGAGTTTCTCACCAGGTTTTTGAGTTTTCTTCTCCATGCTTTGAATTTTTCTCCACCAGGCTTTGAGTTTTTTCACCAAGCTTTTGAGTTTTTTCCACCAGGCTCTGAATTTTTTCCCCTAAGCTCTCAGTTTCCCCACCAGGCTTTTGGGAGTTTTCTCCACCAGGCTTTGAAAGTTTTCTCCACCAGGATTTTGAGAGTTTTCCCCACCAGGCTTTTGGGAGTTTTCTCCACCAGAATTTTGGGAGTTTTCTCCACCAGGCTTTTGGGAGTTTTCTCCACCAGGCTTTTGAAAGTTTTCTCCACCAGGCTTCGAGTTTTCTCCACCAGGCTTTTGAGTTGTCTCCTCCACACTTTGAGTTTCTCACCAGGTTTTTGAGTTTTCTTCTCTATTCTTTGAATTTTTCTCCACCAGGCTTTGAGTTTTTTCACCAAGCTTTTGAGTTTTTTCCACCAGGCTCTGAATTTTTTTCCCCTAAGCTCTCAGTTTCCCCACCAGGCTTTTGGGAGTTTTCTCCACCAGGCTTTGAAAGTTTTCTCTACCAGGCTTTTGGGAGTTTTCTCCACCAGGCTTTTGGGAGTTTTCTCCACCAGGCTTTGAGTTTTCTCCTCCATGCTTTGAATTTTTCTCCAGCAGGCTTTGAGTTTTTTCACCAAACTTTTGAGTTTTTTCCACCAGGCTATGAATTTTTTCCCCTAAGCTCTCAGTTTCCCCACCAGGCTTTTGGGAGTTTTCCCCACCAGGATTTTGAGAGTTTTCCCCACCAGGCTTTTGGGAGTTTTCTCCACCAGGCTTTTGGGAGTTTTCTCCACTAGGTTTTGAAAGTTTTCTCCACCAGGCTTTTGAGTTTTCCCCACCAGGCTTTTGGGAGTTTTCTCCACCAGGCTTTTGAGTTTTCCCCCTAAGCTCTGAGTTTTCCCCTAAGCTCTGAGTTGCTTCAGCACAGCCCAATGAATCCTCCTAGATAAAGTTCTGATAATTAATGGCAATTATCAGTGACATCATGGCTAAGGCTGCCTTCAGCTGGGGACCATTTCCAGCACTGTATTTACGTCTCCTGGTGGTTTCTGGAGGGAGGAGCCCTCAGTTCTGGGGAGCCCAGAGTGTCCTGATGGAATGCAGGCCAGCAGAGTGTCCCAGGCAGGAGATGCCATCTCCCTGGAGGCGGCTGCTGCCCAGGGATGCCAGGTTCTGTGGGGCAGAGTGCCAGGAGCAGGAGACAGATGCTGCACAGCTGCTCTGCCTGCCAGCAGTGGGCTTTGCCTCTCTGTGGCATTTGCAGGAGAGCATTATCTCCATCAGCACGGGCTGGGAGGAGCTCTGGGAGTACAGGGGGAGATTATTTTGACAAATATCCTGCGTTTGGCTGCGGTGTGAAAGCCCAAACTGATGTGTTCCCTGGGTGCTGCTGACTGAGATGGATTGGGGATGGGCCCGTGCCCATGGGGAGTAATGAGGGGAGGAAGGCACTGCTGCTGTGATGAGCTTTTCCTCTGCCTAATTGCAGCTGGAGAGGGGATGTGTTGTCTGGGTGATAGATCTTGGCATCTCTTGTCTTGTATTTAATTACTGGAAAGTGAAGTAATAGATGTTTAAGTGATGAATAGATGTTGTGCATTCAGGTAATTATGGCCTTAATAAAAATGACAAATGCAGATATTGTGCTGTTGAAATTTAGGATGCTGAGAGCAATCCCCTGTGCCGGCGGTTGCAGCTGAAGGATATCATCCCCACGGAGATGCAGAGGTTGACTAAATACCCCCTTCTGCTGGATAACATTGCTAAATACACAGGTAAAGCCTTTCCACTGGATTTTGGGCACCCATCTCAGCAGGTTTTTTAGGTAAATGTTTTCAATAACACTTTAATTTTATGTGTCTCTCTCTGTTTTCATTGCGACCTCACTGCTGCCTCCTGCACAGGAGGTGTAAAAAATAATAATAAAGAGAAAAATCCAGTGTTGGTTCCTCCTTAGGAAAATAAAAAGGAAATTCAGTGTGAAATAAGTGAATCTCTGAAGCAGCACAGAACATCCTCATACTCTTGCAGAGGGTGGGGTTTAATTAGGATTTGTTACACTGAAAGATACTTCCTGCACAACAGGTAGAAATGTGATAAATAATAGCACAAAATGCCTTCGCAGCTTTACTATCTGATACCTGCTGCAGGGTAATTTCATTACTCATAAAAATAGACTGCAGCTACAAGTTCCCTCTAATCCTAATTAGGGAAGCATGTGATACTCCATTATCTTTGATGTACTGGTTGATGTTCCTGTTAAGTGAATTCTCAGTGTGGCTGCTGGTGCTGGTGAGAATTGATGGGTTCACCTGTGCCTGTACTCTTAGGAAGGATTTTAGGATTTTAGTAAGGATTTTAGTAAGGATTTTAGGTTTCCCACATTATTGTGAATAGCTGTCACAAGGCCCTAAAAAAGGGGGAGTAACAATTGCATTATGTGTGATGATGTGCATCAGAACCCATCAGAATCTCAGCTGTGGTCCAGTAGTTTGTGAGGATGAATGTAGCTTCAAATTTTCAATGAATATGAATATTTTAATGAGGGTAATATTTTAAAATTTTGTAATGAAGTGGCAAAAATAATGTCTGCAGTACTTACTAGGAAATTCCTTCCAATAGGCAATGTCTCACATTTCCTTTCTCTTCAAATCCCAATGGTTTATTCTATTTACAAGTGTTCCTAGTCTCCTTCATATTTCCTTTAGAAGCTTCAGGTTTAGATATTATGGACAGAGAGTAATGGGTTTTTGGAAAAAAAAAAAAGCAAAATCTCCTTCTGAAAACATCACTGTACCATTCAAAGCCCTTACTTCCTCCTGTAACAGAAACCAGGTGACATACTTTAACATTATAATATATATTCTAGGGTCTGCAGCTGCCTCATGGTCTGGAAATGTCAGGATATTTTCATATGTATAGACACCTAGCAGCGTTAACTGTCAGGTTTTTTCTTCAATCAGTTCTTTCCCATCACAAATCTCATTTTTATCCCTATCGCAGTGCTTCTGTTGATAGACTTCTCTGTGAGTTTAACCCCTCTTTGTCCAATTTGAGGCCAGCAAACTGCAGTGCAGGGCTGGCTGGTGAAACCTTTGCTGGGATGCACTGCCCCACTGGGTTTTATTCTTGCAGAGCTGCCTGAGGAGAAGGAGAAAGTCAAGAAAGCAGCAGATCACTGTCGCCAGATCCTCAACCACGTGAACCAGGCTGTCAAAGAGTCGGAGAACAAGCAGGTGGGAGGGCCAGAGTGAACACCCAGGGCTGGGAACAGCAGTAAAGCTGCACTCGGGGCAGTTTTGCTGCTCCAAGTGACCATTGCCTTGCATTTCCTGCAGCATTTGGAGGATTATCAGCGCAGACTCGACCTCTCCTACTTGAAGCAGTCAGAGGATCCCATGATGGATGAGTTCAGGGTGAGTGAGAGCATCAAAACCAGCCCTGGGTGAATGGAATTTGCAGCTCTGTCATTCACTTTGTGCTTCTTCTGATGCACAGTCGAGTGGTCTTTGGAGATAAATATTTCTGTGTGAAAATGAAAACAGTTAGTCTCAGAAATGTGAGTTTTGCCACCTTCCTGAAGATTCCTGTGGCTCTAACAGCCCAGTTCTGCACATCATGGTGCTGATGAAGCTTGTCAGCTCTGTGCAACAAGCCTTTATGGCCTGCAAGCTCAAGCACTGTATCCCAGAAGAGATATCTGGCAGATAATTACATTTTTGTGGATATTTATCTCATGTGAGTGCATGTCTTAGTGATGTTGTTGGAACTGGGGAGGCCTTGGAGAGCCCTGGGGTGTAACAGTGGAACTGGCTTTAAAAAGAGAGCTTGTACAGAAACATGAGAGATCCACACAGCCAAATAAAACCTGAAGTCCAGTAATAAAAATATTCTGTTTCATGGCTTCTATAAATCCCTGCAGTTTTGTTGGAAGCTGGTTACCTGCTGGTTTCTTCCCCATCTCCCTCAAAGTCAGTGTGACAAAAAAACCCAACTTTTCAATAAAACTGTGTCATGTGTCCTTTCCCAAATAAACTTGGAAGCATTTAGCAAGGGAAGGAAGAACTTCTGGCAGCTATGAAATCTCGCTGTCACTGATTGTAGACTCTGAGACTTGGAAGGGATGAATTGTGAAAATTGTCACTTCTGCTTGCCTGCAGATCTAAATGTCACAAGCACTGAAGTGCCTGAAGAATCCATTGACATTACAAAGCCTGTCAGATCATTGGGATGATTTGTAAATAATTTGTAGGCACACTTGACTTGCAAATCGAGTGCTGCAGCATTCATCAGTGGCAATGCTGGAGCTGAATATGGGGTATTGGAAAAACTCCTCCTAGGAAACAGGTGACATCCTAATGCCCCAGGAGCTCGACTTGGTGGGAGAATTCCCCACTCTGTGGCACTTGGCATGTGGAAAACAGCAGTGGAAGAGGGAAAGTGATAAACAGCATCTCTGACATGATTTTGGGTTTCCTGCTCCATGTTTCTTTTCCCAGCCTGGGTTTAGCTGCTTGGCTCCAAACTGGAGTCCCTCTGGCATTCCTGTGTTTTCTCATTATTTGCTTCCCTGGAAATTTCACTTTTTTCCTTTTCCCTGGTGACAGAACCTGGATCTAACAAAGAGAAAGATGCTCCATGAAGGGCCCCTGACCTGGAAGGTGAATCGTGACAAAACCATCGGTGAGTCTGGGCCATCCCCTCATCCCCTGGCTCTGGGTGGGTTTGCTGGGAAGGAGAGGAGGGAAAAGCTCTGCTTGCAGCTCCCAATTATGCTTCTTACTGCCACCTCTCATAATGCCTTCGTGCTTCTCTGAGCTGATTAAATTATTCTTGTCAATTCTGAGATGTGCTGGAGCATCATTAGGGCCACGCAGGGACACAGCAGTCACTCATGAGCTGATCCAGTTCCATCTGTAGCTTTCTGCTGGAGTTTTCACCAGGAAGATTTGCAAGCTTTGCCTGGAATGGCACAGCACTGATTGCTGCTTCTGCATGAGTAATCAGAAATGCAGCTTTCTGCTTTCTGATGGGAATCTTTTAACTCATCCTGGGGCTTTTTTTGCATTCTGGGCAGATCTGTACACTCTGCTGCTGGAGGACATCCTGGTGCTGCTGCAGAAACAAGATGACAAACTGGTGCTGAAGTGCCACAGCAAGATCCTGGCATCCACAGCTGACAGCAAACACACCTTCAGCCCCATCATCAAACTCAACACTGTGCTGGTTCGCCAGGTGGCCACAGGTCAGTGCAGCCCACTGAGAAAGCAAGAAGAGAAGCCAAAAATAAAGATTAGCTCAGTTGAGGAAGATGATTTTGTGTAGATTTTCAGAGTAGAACATGGAAAACTGCGTAGGCTTAATTCTTGGTTGTCCAACATCGTGCTTAGTATGGATGAGCTGTTTAACTTCTTTGCATCAGTAATAGGCATTTGCTTGAGTTTTAAATAGACCTCTAAATGAAAGTACTTTGATTGTGTTAGAGGAAAAGCACTCTGGAAATTATTAGAAGGGAAAAGAGGAGAAATGGAGCTTTTTCAAAATGGGTTGAAATAGGTTTTTTCCTTTGAGGGCACATTTCTTTGCTAGGACAAGGTCAGTGTTTCTGTGTTAGTGTTGGAGAGTTATCTCATGGACTTTTCCCTTGCTTGGGGCTGGGTTATGTAGGAATTTTTGGGAAGCTGTGTGGGGGCTGGCAGCTGTTTCAGTCCCCTTCCCTGTGTTGGTGCAGATAACAAAGCTTTCTTCGTCATCTCCATGTCGGCGACGGGGGCTCACATCTACGAGCTGGTGGCACAGACTGTCTCAGAGAAGAATGTGTAAGTGCTGGGGTCAATTCCACCTGCTGCTGGCTTTGCTGGACCTGAGAGACCATTTACCCCATGAATTCCCTGAGTTCCTTCTCCAAACTGAGCTGGAAACCTGGTGGTCTCTGTAGGAAGCATCCACGGAAAGTCCCTCCCAGCTGGCTCACTCCAGACTCTTTCCTGACCTCCAAAATGCTTTTATTTACTCTTAAAATTCTGAATATTTTGGGCCTGAGTGCCAGATCAGACACAGAAATAATCCTGCATCTTCATGCAGCACCAGAGATATTTGCAGATTTACATTCTGGCATCATAAACACCCCACTGCAGGAATTGGATTCCATGGCTAAAAGCTTTACTGGGAGAAACTCTTTTCTCCTAAAGACTACACAGAGATAAATGTGCTTATGGGATACATGTTGCATGTATTACACTTCAGTGATGTGTGAAATAATGCTTTTTTATGTATTTATATATCAATTAACTGGTTGATCTGACAAGTGATAAGGTCCTGTGTGTCATTTCTATCTGCTGAAGAGCATCCAGGTGAGCTGAGCTTTATGCTGTGGTGATTTCAGGGTGTTCCTGGGGGGACTGAATGTAACAGAACTTAATAAAAAAAAAAAAAGACATTTATTTTTGTTAAAAAAGTAGTAATTATATCAACTGTGTTTAAGAGGATTAAATAGGGAAATGCTCATTCTGCTTCACTTGCTGCATGGTTTTATTTGCTGTTTCTGCTGCAGCTGGCAGGACCTTATAGCTCAGATGGCAGGAACTGTGAAGATGGGGAGCAGCAGAAGAGTGATCCCACTGCCTCAGTCGGGCCCTGGCGAGTAAGTCAAACCTGCAGGAAGAAAAAAAAGTGGATTTTTCTTTCTCCTGCACCCCTTTTCCTGCTTACAAATTGCAGGATTCCCCTGCAGATGAAGCTGACTGAAAGGATGTGTTTGTTCTTCCCTCCCTGCAGAGAGGAGCGTGAGGAAGAGGAGCAGCAGAAGCTCAAAGAGCAGCATGGCATTCCTGCCAGCAGCCTGCAGAGTCCAGGTAAAGCAGGGATTCAGGGAAATGGGAGCAGATTTGCTCCACAGAGTGCAGGTGTGCCCAGCCATAATCCTGGGGGATTGGGGATCCTAGGGCAGCTTTGAGATTTTTCTGGAAAAGGGTGATTTCTTTACAAGTCATTCAGAGAAGTGATGCTGAACCTCTTGGAAATGCATCTTGTCCTCTTCCCTTCTGATTTATAAACTGCTAGAGAGGTTTTTTTAACCCTGGAAAGAGCTGGCCTTGTAGCAAAGCCACGCTCAAGAACCTTAGTGTTTCCAGAGTGCAATTTCCTGCAGTTTTATCCTTGTTGTTTCACCTGAATTTTTGTGGGGTTTTTTTGTCCTCTAGATAAAGATTTGGGCCTGGAGTCTCCGTTGATACTGAACCCTCAGTCCTCTTCACCCATCATGTCTGAAAAGGCCAAGGTGGAAGGGCTGCTGGGGGCTGAGGCACAGTTTGAGAAGGTGCAGCAGGCAGAGCTGGCACTGAAGGACTCCTCTGCCTGCTATGAGCACCCAGCCAGCAGCTCAGCCTCGGTGCCAGAGGGGCAGTGGGCACGGGATGCCCTGAGGAACTGTGAGTACCACCCTGGCCTGGGCTTTGCAGGGGGAATTTGGTCCAACAGCCCATTTCCATTCATTATCCACCCCCCTGGGCTGGCTTTCACATGGGAGGGATGTGACAGCAAGGAGTTCTGGATCTGTGCACTGCCCCCTCCCTGGGCTTTAGGCATTTCTGGGGTTTTATGTATCAAACGAGGGTGATAATGAAATTCTACCATCCATGAGTGCTTTGATGGCAGAATTACTTTGCAGAACTTAGTGCCATTGCTGCTCAGCAGTTTTTAAAAAGACAAGGCAGTCAGCCCTGGCCTTATTTCCGTAGCACTGGAGCAGAACTGGAGATGTTGCTTGTGTTGCAGAATACAATTTTCTCTTTTATTTTTTTTTTTCCTGTAAAATCCTGCAAACTGTTAAGCTCACTTACATCCAAAGCCCAGGCTCAGATTTCCTGAGTATTTGGGAGGTGGTTGGGTCTAATTAGATCAACACTTGTGTGTGTTAAGAAGTTTTACTGATAGTGAAATCACTGTTTGAAATTGTTTTTAAGAAGTTTTCCTGATGGACAAATCACTGTTTGAAATTGTTTTTGAGGTTTTTAATCACTTCCTCTGCTCTCCTTTCACAGGAGGGATGCAGGGCTCTGCTGGATCAGCTCTGGCAGTGGAACTCCTAAATAGAACTCCCTAAAATTTGAATGAATTCATTAATCCACAGATCTCCCCTTGGCAACTCTGGAAGGGACACAAAGTCCCTCAGTTGTACTTGGAGGGAAGAGTCTCTGGAATATTTGCTTTTACCAAAATGCAGAACTTTGACATCCCTGGCCTCAAGTTGCCTTTTCCATCTCTCTGTCCAAGCAATGACAGTTCTCTGCAGTCTCAGAGTTATCTCAGACCTTTAATTCCATTTATTCTCCTTCTCGGAGGATTTAAAGTTCTTTTCTAGTTCTAAATATTGGACAGATATTCTTGGTACTTGTTTTAAGAGACCACAGCTAAAATAATCTTAGTCTGGGGGTGTGTAAGGACAATTTTAGTGACCCTACAGCATCTCCTGAGTGTTAAGAGTTAAAAGAGCAGCTCTCCAACATTGTGACAAGAGCCTGAGCTGAGTGACAGTTCTGCTGTGTGACATCCCAGCTTTTTTTGGGTGTTGCAAGAGCATTTTGTGGTGAGGAGGAACAATCTGAGGCTCTTGACAGCAGCACGTTTTTGTTTGGAACAATATGTCCCTATTATGAAGTGTTTGGTTGGGATAATTTGGGAACTAAAGGAATGTGGGTTGAAGTTCAACCAGGCATAAATTTGCATTGAATTTTAGGGAAAATGTTTCTTAGATTTTTTTTTCTTTTTTTTTACTGTCATTTCAAACCTGAGTGGAATATTCCCAAGTTCCTTGAGGTGGGAATCCCCTGCTCTAACCACAGCTGTGAGCTCCTGTGCAGGGTAAAACCCAGGCACTCAGGATAATTTCTGGAGAAAATTTCTTTGCTTTTCTCCAAGGAGATGCAGCTTGTCCTGACATATTGTAAGGTAAAACAGGGGAGTGAGGCTGGAACCTTTCATACATTTATTTTTATCCCTATTTTTCCAACCAAGAGCAAGGAGTCACACCTCTGTCAGAGGGTGACCTTTGTGTCTGCTTTAATTCCTTCTGTGCTCTGTGAGCGTTGCCTGCATTTGTCAGGTGCCATTAGTGCAAGAGCAGGATTTTGAGATATTGTCATAGAAACAGAGATTTTGGGCAAGCAGGAAGGGAGGTGATGAGCTCACAGAATACCCTGAGCTGGAGAGGAGCCAGAAGGAATTTTAGGGAAAATGCTTCTTAAGATTTTTTGCTGTCATTTCAAACCTGAGCGGAATATTCCCAGTTTCCTTGAGGTGGGAATCCCACAGCTTGTCAGGGTCAAAGTTGGAGTCATTTTGTCATTTTGTCACCTGTCCATCTCACCTGAGCCTTGCCTGTCCTTGCAGTGGGGCTGCTGAGGCAGCTCCTGGTGCAGCAGCTGGGCCTGGCCGAGAAGGGACCCCTGGAGGACAGACAGCGCTCGCCCAGGTTCAGGACCGTGTCCCAGGAAGCCCAGACAGAGAGTGGCACCGAGCTGCAGCCTCCAGAGAGCAAATTCCAGCAGCCTGGAGAGGACGGGAGCCTCGGCAGAACTGGGGCGGCCGCGGGCGGGCACGGCGCCCGGACTGCCGCCGAGTGCCCGGGCACCGAGCCCGCTGCCAGGGGCGCTTTGCCCATGGACAGCACGAACCTGGAGGGCTCCAGCTCGGAGCTGGAGGGGCTGGGGGCTGAGGAGAGCGGGGAGCGGTTCTTCGATGCCCGGGAAGCTCACAGCGACGAGAACCCCGGCGAGAGCGAGAGCGAGCTGCTGGGCAGGAAGGAGGAGGAGGAGGAGGAGGAAGAGGAGGAGGAGGAGGAGGTGCAGATTCGGATCTCAGGTGAGCCTGGGGCACTCCTGCAGGGGGTGATATGATGGCCAGGTCCTGCTTCAGGGGGTGGTGGCCTGGCCAGGGGCATTTAACACCTCACTTTTTGTTAATTTGGGGTAGGACAGTCAGCCCCCAGCTCTCACCAAGGCTTTTCATGGACCTGGCTCATTCTTCATGTGCTGGAGGAGAAGCTGAAGGGGGTGATGGCCTGGCCAGGGGTATTTTAACACCTCACTTTTTGTTAATTTAGGGTAGGACAGTCAGCTCCCAGCTCTCACCAAGGCTTTTCATGGACCTGGCTCATTTTTCATGTGCTAGAGGAGAAGCTGAAGGGGATGATGGCATGGTCAGGGGCATTTAACACCTCACCGAACTCAGGGGTCCTCATAAAACAGGAAAGCTGGACAGGACAGAGCACACATCCAACCAATATGATTAATGCTACGTTCTCCCTTTATTCGAGAGAAGATGGCATTTTTTATACACTTCTATACAGTTTACAGTTTACAAAGGCACTCTGATTGGCAAGCTAACATTGTTTGTCTTTGTCTTAATGTGGCCTAAACCTCACACTATAAACCTGTACTACTTTACACCCAGACAGCCCAGTGCTCCCCATCACACCTTAATACAATTTCTGACTGTGCCACAAACTCTTAATTTCTAACTGTGCCACAAACTCTTAATTTCTAACTGCACCACAAACTCTTAATTTCTAACTGTGCCACAAATTCTTAATTTCTAACTGCATCACAGGCTGGAAGGCCTCACAAGTCCCAAATCTGAGGCCTAGACTGGAGTAGCTCAAATCTCATTCCAGACATAAATCATGGCCTCTCTCTCTCAGAAATGCTGCAACACTTCACCTTTTGTTTATCTGGGGTAGGACAGTCAGCCCCCAGCTCTCACCAAGATATTTCATGGACCTCTGAAAAGTTTATTATTTTATTATTGTTATTGCTGCACATGGGCTATTTGACAGCTACCTGAGCACACCAAACTTAGCACAGAAGCTGAGGTTTATCTCGTGCATTTTGTAGTAGAAGCAGCTGCTACCAGGTGGATTCAACACTAACAGCCCCACAGAAGTCTCTTATCCATAAATATGCTCTTATTTAAAAATTGGATTATATCCACACGGATAAGCCAATTTATGACTGCCCCAATGCTGCTTTCCAACTACATAGTGCAAATAATTTTTCTCACTGAGACATTTTAAATTATTCAAACTGAGCCAACAACTCAAAGCATCTAATTTATTTGTCACCTCTTCCACTGTTTACTTTTTAAACTGGGGACATCAAAATGAGACTGATCTGTTTTTAGTCAATTCTGAGTCCCCTCTGCTGGCTTTGCTTGTGGTATTTTAGAGATATTCATTAAATAGACTCCTGTTTCTGGGTGCAGGGTGTGAAAGCATTTTCTGTCTGTAATTACTTTATCTTTTAGCATATCAGCAAGCTCTGCTTTAAACCTCACCCATCTAAAAGCATCCTAAGTGCCAGGGCTGGGGAGTGGAGTTTGGGAATCCAGCAGCTGCATTTGTCAGGTGCCATTAGTGCCAGAGCAGGCTTTTGAGATATTATCATAGAAACTGAGATTTTTGGGCAAGCAGGAAGGGAGGTGATGAGCTCACGGAATATCCTGAGCTGGAGAGGAGCCAGAAGGATCATTGAGTCCAAGTGCTGTCCATTTAATTATGGGCTTTTTTTAATGCACAGTGTAAAAACCATCCCTGATCTCTGAACCTGTTCAGAACCAGCTGAGTCTGACAGTACCACTAATATTTGGAGTGTTCACAAATTATTTTTCTCAGGAGATGGGCTGTGGTACTTCTTTTCTCAGGAGATGGGCTGTGGTACTTCTTTTCTCAGGAGATGGGCTGTGGGACACCCCCCCTTCTGTCTCTTAGAATCTGCTCAAACCCCCCCGAGCCCTGAAGCTTCTTCAGAGTGGTCAAGTCAAACTGTCTCTGCAAGAAATTATTTGATTTTTCTCACAAGATGGGCTGTGAGACACCCCCACTTCTGTCTCTTAAAATCTGCTCAAATCCCCTTGAGCCCTGAAGCTTTTTGGGGATGGTTGAGTCAAACCCCATTGTCTCTGCAGGAAATCATTTTATTTTTCTCAGGAGATGGGCTGTGGACACCCCCACTTCTGTCTCGTAGCATCTGCTCAAACCCTCTTGAGCATTGAAGTTTCTTGGGGGTGGTCAAGTCAAGCTCCATTGTCTGTGCAGGAAATTATTTGATTTTTCTCAGAAGATGGGCTGTGGGACTTCTTTTCTCTGGAGATGGGCTGTGGGACACCCCCACTTCTGTCTCTTAGAATCTTCTCAAACCCTCTTGAGTCTTGAAGCTTTTTGGGGATAGTTTGAGTCAAACCCCATTGTCTCTGCAGGAAACTATTTGATTTTTGTCAGGAGATGGGCTGTGGGACACCCCCACTTCTGTCTCTTAAAATCTGCTCAAACCCACCTCAGCCCTGAAGCTTTTTGGGGATGGTTGAGTCAAACCCCATTGTCTCTGCAGGAAATCATTTTATTTTTCACAGGAGACAAGCTGTGGGATATCTTTTCTCAAGAGATGGGCTGTGGGACATCTTTTCTCAGGAGACGGGCTGTGGGACATCTTTTTTCAGGAGATGGGCTGTGGGACACCCCCTCTTCTGCCTCTTAGAATCTTCTCAAACCCTTTTGAGTCCTGAAGCTTTTTGGGGATAGTTTGAGTCAAACCGCATTGTCTCTGCAGGAAACTATTTGATTTTTGTCAGGAGATGGACTGTGGGACATCTTTTCTCAGGAGATGGGCTGTGGGACATCTTCTCTCAGGAGATGGGCTGTGGGACATCTTTTCTCAGGAGATGGGCTGTGGGACACCCCCACTTCTTCCTCTCAGAATCTTCTCAGCCCCGCCTGAGCCCCGAAGCTTCAAACGCCGTTGTCTCCGCAGGAAATTATTTGATCCTCGATGGCTACGGAGCAGTGCAGGAGAGCTCCACGGACGAGGAGGTGTCAGCCCTGGTCCTGCAGTGCACCTCCCACCAGCAGCCCCCCCTGGACTGTCCCCAGCAGCAGCAGCAGCAGCCCCTGTCCCCCCGGGACGCGCGCTCGGACGGGGGCAGCTCGCCCTTCCCCGAGGAGCTGCGCTGGCCGGGGCTGGAGGAGCCCTGCCCCTTCCTGGGCAGCCCTCAGCTCCCGCTGCAGATCCGAGTGCAGCTCATGCAGTACATCCACAACATCGAGGATGCCCTGGAGAAGCTGAAGGTGCGTTGCTTTTTCGTTCTTTTTATTGGTTTTGTTACTGTTATTAGTTTGATGGTCACCTGAGTGTGTGATCGTTTCCGTGCCCGCTCAGTTTTTTTGGGTTAGAAAAAAGCTTTAAAATCATTCTGATGGGCAAAAGCACAGCCACGTTTCTCTTCATCTCTAGTTCTAACTCCTGGAAGACTTCAAAGCAGAATCTTTTGCTTTTTTTGCTGTTTTGTGTGCATTGAGTTGTGGATCACGACAGGCCAATAGTTCTGCTGGAGCTGGAGGGCTCTTTATTGCTTTGATTTTGATCTGAAGAAATTTCTGAGGGGCGGGAAGGCTGCAGAAGTGGAGTTTTCAACAGGACACTGGCCTGAGAAATGTGGATTCCTGGCATGAAGATTAGGGAGAAGTTCTCCACAGACAGGTGGGATTCCTGGCATGAAAATCAGGGAGAAGTTCTCCACAGAGAGGTGGGATTCCTGGCATGAAGATTAGGGAGAAGTTCTCCACAGAGAGGTGGGATTCCTGGCATGAAAATCAAGGAGAAGTTCTCCACAGAGAGGTGGGAGGGTTGAATCCCCATCCCTGCAGGTGTTCAAGGACACACTGCATGTGGCACTTGGTGACAAGGTGGTCTTAGGGCATAGGTTGGACTCAAAGATCTTTTCCAGCCTTGGTAATTCTGTGAAATCTCTCCTGTGCTGCTGCTCGTGGTGTCAGATGAAGACTCTGAGTTGCACCAATATTGAGGTTTTCAGGGTCTGTGTTTTCCACATGATTTTTGCATGGGATGGGGATTCTCTTTCTAGAATAACTACAGAAGGTTTGATGTGTGAAACGCCCAGTAGCCAACCTTTAATTTCCCTGAAATCAGAATATTGCATGCAAATGAAGCTGCTGATGAAGGAGTTGAGGGGCCTCACTCCAAACTGGCTGTTGGCAGTAGTGAAACTTCCCTTTTTCCTGTTGGAACCCCTCTTTGTTTGCTTGATAAATGGAGATCCAGTTGAGTTTTGGGGCTGTTGTTGTTGTTTTGCAGGAGGTTGAGGAGGATTACAGCGTTCTGCGGCGCCAGGGGCTGGCTGGCTCAGCCTCCACAGGAGAGCACTCAGGTAGGAGCCCCAGAATCAAACCCAGAGCACAAAGTCGAGTGTTTGGGACACCTAAAAACAGAGGCCAGACAAAACTAAGAGAATAAAAAGCACATGAAGGGCCTTCATGTACATTTAGGGCAGACAAAAGCCACCCAAAATGGAGAATTGGTCATGTGTTTCACACTTTTATAAGTTTGGTCCATTTGCATACTGGGGGTTAATCTGCCAATTACAGCTTCAGCTAATGAAGTTATTTAGCCCAAGTTTCCTCCCCCAACTCACTTTTGTTTCCATCTCTGGCCTGAGGCAGTGAGGTGTCCTTGATTGCCAGGCCTGGAGAGGAATTGTTGTGTCTGCCCTAAATGGGGAAGCAGCAGCTCACACTGTGTGTGGAGTTTAGAGTTATACACTAAAGAATTGTTACAAATAGATAAAAAATATAAAATCCTGAGGTATCAGAGCTCCAACTGGCCTTTCTCACATGCCCAGAAAGGTTTCACCTCCTTGAGCAGCTGCAGGAAAGGTCAGCTCATCCCTGGAGGCTCAGCTGAGCTCGTTCCTCCTGCTCTGGCAAGTTCTGTTCCAGCTGCCCCACGCCTCCAGCCCAGGCTGCAGCTTCTCCTCCAGGCAGGCCAGAGTGGTGGGAGCTTCCTGAAATTCCCTGGGGCCCTCCAGGAGGAATTGCTGAGCTCCTGAGCCAGGTTTGGGGGTGGGATGGGTGTGAGGCTGCCACTGAGCACAGCTCTGCCCGTGGGAGTGTCAGAGGGGCCACACATTCATCTCCTGCCACAAAATAACTCACACGTTCCCTTAAGATACAAAAGAGGGGAAAGAGGAAGCTTTATTTCTGGCTTCACAATATATAGATTTCTAAAAGTGACAGTGGATTGGAGGATGGAATTTCCACCTCTCCAACCACACTGGTCAAACCAACAGCCCATCAATTCTCTCTCACAAAGAAGAATGCAAAACAATCATTAATTATTTACATGGACACTGGTGAGAACTCCGGTAGAAACCATGTAAACATCAGAAGGCACAGAAAACTTTTAGAACTTTACAACTTTTAAAAGAACAGGGCACCAATCTCCCAGCACATCCCTCTCCCTCACCACCTTTTTCCCTTTTTTTTTCCCTTTTCAGACAAAAGCTAGTCGTGTTTCCGGGAGTGGCTGAGGACTGGATGAAGAGAATCAGGACACAGCACCCGCTGTCTCCCCTGTGGACTCTGGGATGAGGGTTTGGAGCATCCAAACAGGAACCATTCTCTAGCAAAGTGGGCATGGGGTGCTTTTCCTGTGGGGCATCTGCACTATCTTGTCAGTGAGGGAGTCTATTCTATTCTGCTCCTCTCTTGCTACCAGAAATTCAATTTTTTTTTTTCAGAACAGAAAAAAAAAAAAAACCAAACCAAATGTACAGAGCTTTGGGTGTAGGATATAAAAAAATGTATTTAGACATTTAAAAGAAAAAAAAAATCAATGTATTTATTTGACTTCATTCCGTGTATCAAAAGCACATTTTAATTTTTTTAATCTGCCTTTTTTTTTGTTGTTCTATTTTTGGGTAGTGACAGTTCTGGCCCCCTGCATGTGGCCCACCCTGCCTGGTGAGGGGACAGGGGGGACCTGTGTGCAGGGCTTTCCTCACTGGACTGGACTCTGCACTCCCTGCTGGCACTCAGACTACCAGGAGCTACTCATGAAGGTGTCAGGATGGAATTTATGGCTGGAATTTGTCTGTATCCAACCAGCTGCATGGGAATTGCTCATGTCACCACGTGTGGAGCAGGAATTTTCCATGCACTAAACAGCCAGGCACTTGAGATGGGCAAATTTTCCTTCTCCCCTTTCCCATTCCTCTGCTGGGAGAGGAGAAAGAGGTTTAATTTTGGTTTTTTTTTTCCTTGACTTTGTTGGCTTTGATCATTGTCTCCTTTGTAAAGTGATAAAAAAAAATTACTTGGACCTGCAGCACTTTTGTAACTCTTCTCTGGATCAAAAAAAAAAAAAAAAGAAAAAAAAAAGAGGAAAAAATGCAAACCCAGAAGTGTTTCAAAGATGTGGGGCAGCTCTGCCCCTGATTCACTACTGAATGAAAAAGGGCTGCCATGGAGTTAGCCACAGGTACTGCTGATTATAGGGCCAGTAAGTTTTAGTACCTGAAGTATGTCTTGCTGAGGGCTTGGGGTGGGCTTTGGGGGTTGTTTTTTTTGGGGTGGGCTTGGTTTTTGTTGAATTTTGCCTTTTTTTTGTGGGTTTTTTTGTTTTTTTTTTTTTTTTTTTAAATCATTCGTGCCAATGTGTTCTCACCCAGAGGGAGATCAGTGACCTGAGGAGGCTGAAGCAGCTCTTGGGCACTTCCTCAGGCCTGTCCTGGTGGGGTTTGCAGCTGGAATTCCTGCCAGGATGGGAATTAGGGTAACCCTGAGCCCGTTTCCATTCATTATCCACTCCCCCATGCTGGGTTTCACACAGGATGGGTCTGACAGCAAGGAATTCTGCATTCACTGACCCTTGCCTGCCCTTTAGGCATCTCCTTGTTTTTCAGGGGGTTTTCCCTAGCAAATGAGGGTGATCAGGAATTTTTGCTGCCCTGCTTGGCACGGGGTGGTTCAAGCCGTGCCCTGGGCTGGGCTGCTCCTGCCAGGTATGAGGAGCACAGCCTCTTCCCAAGATTTCAGCTCTTCCAGGGAGCCAAACGGAGCATCCTGCACATCCCACGGACAGCCAGAGCTTTGCTCAGCACCAGGATCCTCCTGCTCCTCTAAACCAAACGTTTTCCCTTTAGCTGCTGGCAAGAAATCACCTCTGTCCCTTGTCACAGCAATCCCAGCTCCTCTTCTTCCCCCAGGAACCTGTGGGGGATGAGCTCAGGTGGCAGGAGAGGGAGCAGAGGTGGTTTTGGTGTGGGAGTTGGAGCCAGGAGCCCTTTTTGGAGGGTAGGGAGGAATTCCTGTTGTTGCCAGCAGCCTCCTGCCAGGAGCTCCCTGGATTTTTGGGATGCACCAAATGTGTGGGATTATTGTCAGTATTAACCCAGCACTTCATCCTCATGGATGGGCTCTCCCCTCCTCACCTCAGCCTCACAATTCCCAGGTTACAAACACCCAAATTTCCTCTGAGAACACCCTGGAAGAGAGCTGGGCAACAGCCACAGCTGGGCTTGGACCTCTTTTCCCCCTCACACTCCAGAAACAGGAGCAGTTCTTGTGACCTCAGTGATCTGAAGGGTTCCCAGAGGCTTCCATGGAATTCCAGAACCCAGGGAGCTCAGTCTGGCTCTGGGAGAATGTTCTGGAAGAGCAGCAAAGGTGGGGTTTGGGGAGGCCTGGGTGGTTCCTGTGGTTGAGCACAAAATCCTCGCTGGGTCTCTCCAGGTTGCCAGAATTCCAAGGTCTCTGGTGGTTCCTGGAATTACCCTCTGTGAAAAGCTGGGAATGCAGCGAGTTTGTGAATTCACGTTTTTGCCTGCTGGAGTGGAGTGGATTTCCCCCCAAATCCCCTCATTCTGCCTTGGGGTGACCCGCAGGGTGAGGGGCAGTGTGTCCCTGTCCCTGGCAGGGTGGGTAAGGGGGAATTCCCCCTCAGTGCAGGCTGGGCTGGCAGAAATTCGGGAATGCTGGAGGAGCCCAGCTGAGCCCGGTTCTGTGGGGACAGAAATCCCACTCTGGGCTCGTGCTGGCTCTGCTTTAGCTCATCCTCACAAACAGGGATGGTGTGGGGCAGGGATCCCTCCCCTGGGGGGACAGGGAATTCCTTTTGCCCAGGGAATTCCTTTTTCCAAGGAATTCCTTTCCCCAGGGAACTCCTTTTGCCCAGGGAACTCCTTTTTCCCAGAGAACTCCTTTTTCCAGGGAATTCCTTTTCCCAGGTAACTCACTTTCCCCAGGAAACCTTTTTCCAAGGAATTCATTTTCCCAGGTAACTCCTTTCCCCAGGAAATTCCATTTTCCCCAGGGAACTCCTTTTGCCAAGGAAATTCCTTTCTCCAAGGAATTCCTTTCCCCAGTGAACTCCTTTTTCCCAGGGAACTCCTTTTGCCCAGAGAATTCCTTTTCTCCAGGGAGCTCCTTTCCCCAAGGAATTCCCTTTTCCAAGGAATTCTTTTTCCAGGGAATTCTTTTTCCAAGGAATTCCTTTTTCCAGGGAATTCCTTTTCCCAGGGAACTCATTTCCCCAGGAAATTCCTTTTCCCCAGGGAACTCCTTTTGCCCAGGTAACTCCTTTTCCCCAGGGAATTCCTTTTCCCAGGGAACTCCTTTTTCCTCCCTGGCACAGCTGCAGCAGCACAGACCTCGGGCTGGAGCTCAAATGCACTATTCAGGATTCCCACAGGTTTTTTTTCCCTCCTTTAAGCCATAAGATTTCCCCTTTGTTTAAAATGAAATTTTCATTTTACTTTCCCCCCAGTTGGTTGGCATTCCCTTATCCAAACAGTTCTCTGGAGTTTTTTTTTGTCCCAGCCCCTCACCCAAAAAATATTTTTCCCCCCTTTTCGCTAAATAGAAGAACAAGGATTTCTTTTTTTGGGAACAAGGATGTAAGAACATCTGAGAGGTCATTTCTCACACAGCTGGTGGACAAGCCAAAAGCTCAAGATGGAATTTCCCTGGAATGGGAATTCCCTTCTCCTGCAGAAGATCCCTGCCTGCCCTGGTGTGTAGGGGTGGGATCAGAAGGGTGAGGAGTGCCAACCTCAGGAGCGCTCAGACACTGTTCCAGTGCTCTCAGATTGGATATTCTGATTTTTATCTCCCTGCTGTTCGATTGCATTCTCCTGGATCCAGTATTTTCTCCCAAAGCAATCCCTGGATTCCCTCCCCTTCCCCAAAGGTGCCAACTGACAAGCAGATGTACTGCAAAAGGGATACTGCAGCCAAAACACTGCTGTTTTATTTTGAATTAAGTCTTGTGGAGCTCTCTTCATACTAGAATATTTTTATTTTCTTTGTACAACATACAATCATGTACTCTTAACAGAGATTTACTTTAAAGAGAAGAAAAAAAAATCTGGAGGTATTCTTTAAAAAAAAATACACAAAAATCTTTATTAATAATCCTGTATTTTTACTGATCATGTTTGAATGTCTAAAAAGACTTTATTGTTCTAATTATCCAGATGTATGTTTGTAAAATAGCTCTTTTATGACTTAGCTGATCGGGTTGTATGTTTCTGGAATTAAATATTGGTCACTTAAAAAAAAAAAAAAAGAAATCTGTTTTCAGGACCTGGGAAATAGAAAATTTAAGCGTTTCAAATATCATTAAATAAGCTTAAAGGAAAATGAGCTTTGTCTGGTGGATTTTTTGGGGTGGTTTGGCTGTAATTGCCTGGAGTGTTTAAAGGACAAATGATGCCTAAGGAAAGTTTCCTTGGCGCTGATGAATTTTTTTTTCCAGAGATTGAAGTACCTTGATAGTATTTTTGCTGCTCAGACTTGATGAATTATTAATTACTTAATTAATTAATTGACAGAGCACCAACTACAGGAAAAGAAACCCCCCCTTGCTCCCAGCTGAGCTGACCCTTCAGGAGATTCCCTGCAGGAACTGAAGCCTTGGTGTGTCCTGCACCCCCAGGGCCCTCCTGGGTGCTTCTGCAGGTGAGATTATAAAGGGAATTTCTGACCTTTTTAGGGAATTTCTGACCTTTTTAAGGAATTTCTGCTTGCCCTGGTCACAGACAGCAATTTAATGAATTCTGGAGAAACTCAGAGCTGATGCTCTGAAACAATTCAGCCTGAGCAGAGAGTTCTGCTTTCAATCCCAAATAATTTCTGGCTTCTTTGTCCTTTTAAATCCAACCAGAGCCATTATTCAGCTAAATTAATGAATTGATCCTATGAATTTATTGCTATTTTTAAAAGGGAATTTGTTTTGAAGGTTGGGAATCATTGCTGTGCAACCCTTCCGTGTGAAATTTCACCTCAGCATCTTGCAAATATTTATTTGCATTCCCATTTTGCTTCTGGATCTTTTTCCCTCCGCTGGGACCGACCCAGAACTGTAAAAGAGAAGTGAAATTAAAACTCAGCTGTTGAGGGAACCTGTGAATTTTTCAACAGGGAACATCTGTGCTGGGGGTTTGGTGATTTCTGAGCAGAGGCTGCTCTCCCTGAATCCCTGGCTTTAGTGACATTCCTGTCTTTAGCTTCCCTGGAAGGTGGTGATTCCTGCCAGACAAGCTGGCAGAAATAAATGAATTAACCAAAACACCAAAACAGAAAACAAATCAGCTTTACTCCTGAAAACTTGGGAGCTTTTCCTTTTTTTTTTAATTTTCTTTTTCCTTCCCTGTCTGCATTATGTACACGAAGCTCCTTGAGAGATTTCTTTATTACTTTATTATAATTGGTAATCTGAGCTCTATTACACTTTCCTAATGATGCTCTTCGTGTTTTGCCAGTTTAAATGTTATTTTATATCTTCCCTTTACTGCCTTGCTGTAAATAAATGATTCAAAAACTCAGCAGCTCAGAGAAATCTGAGCTCCCCTGCCCTGGAATCCCAGCTGGGATTTTTGGAGTTGTTTTGCTGCAGTTTTGGGGTTCTTCCCTGGAATTCATCTCTCCACAGGCAGGGGAGACATGAGGGGGATTCAGGGAAGCATTGCAGGTGGGGTTTGGGTCATTTTGGGTCATTTGGAGTTGGTTTGGGTCACTTCGAGTTATTTTTGGGTCATTTTTTGGGTCATTTTGAGTTATTTTTGAGTTATAAGAGCTTTAAGGTCCATTCCAACTCAAACCATTCCATGATTCCAGGGGGTTCTGAGCAATTAGGGTGGCATTCTGTCCCTCCACCTCCCTCAATGACAAAAAACAACTGTTGAATCCATTTGTTCTCTCAGCAAAGATCCCTTTGGTATTTGCTGAAAAATACCCATAATTTCCCTTTTTTTTTTTTTTTTTTTTTTTTGTCAACTCCTCAATGGATTTTAGGTTTTGTTCTTTCAAAATATTGATGGCAGGGTGGTGTAGGATGGAAGTTGTCCAGTCCCTGGCACGAGTTCTTTGCCAGTTGGGCTGAGCATTTTGGGGAGAAATGTTTCCCATCAGAGCTGGGCCCAGCACTCCCTGAATGAAAAAAAAAACCCAAAAACCAAAAAATTTGGATGTGTTTCCTTCCAAGTCTGATCCAAAATCGAGCTGGAAAAAAGCCTGGGGTTAACTCTGAGCATATGCCTGGGTTAAAATGTTCTTTTAGCAAATCTTCCAAAATTTTTAGACACCTGTTATTAAAAAAAGGAGGCTCAGGGGAGTTTTTGAAGGAGCCACTTCCAGCTCCACCCTGGTGAGGTCAGTGAAAACAAAGCTGTGATTTTTGAGGGCTTTCAGAGCCTTTCTGCAGAGCTGCACGTTGGTGTCCTGCCCCATTCACTGATTTCAGCACTTCTGGGAAATAATCCTTTGAGAAGGAAATTTGGGAGTGAGAGGAAATGGCCTTGAGTTGTTCCAGGTGAGATTCAGGTTGGGTATTTCTGATATTTGGGTTGGGTATTTCTGATATTTCTCCATGGGAAGGGTGCTCAGGCATTATCCAAAAACCTGTGGATGTGGCACTCGAGGTGGTGCCATTGTGGGTGATGGGTTGATATTATCAATTATTAATCTTAAAGGGCTTTTCCAGCCTTAAAAATTCCATTATTCCATCCAAGTGCATTTCTTGCTTGAACCCTCCTGCATTTCTCCACATCCCAAACCAAAAATCCACCAGCAGCCTTTCCTTTAATCAGGAAACTGAATTTCCCTCCTCCCCTCCTTTTTCCTCAGCTGCTGGGAGTTTACAGCTGCAAATCATCGAGTTGGGCTTTTGGCAGAATAAAACCCCCAAAATATCCCAGCCTCTTCCTTTCTTGCAGCAGTTTGTTTGTTTCCAGATGTCTGCAGCTTATTCAGCGTGGAGCATCTCCCCTGATCAATATTTTAACCTTCTTGTTGATATTTACTCAGTGCTGCTGAATAAACTCCGTGGAGTGGAGCTCCAGAGTGAATCTCCATTTCTCTCAGCTCTCCGGAGCTTTGGCAATAATTTGCATTATCCGGAGTTATTGTTATGCTGGGATATTAATGAGCACATCTCCCTTCCTTCTGTCTCTCCAAAATTCAATTCAGAGCCCACTTCTGCTGCTGAAACAACTTCTCAGCTCTGAATTAGCACAGGGAGGAGAGAGCTTTGTGCTTTTCTTTTGTCAGCTCGCTTTGAAAAACCCTTTTCTCTCGAGTTTTATAAAGATGGCTTTGATGCAACTCCAGCTGCTTGGGCCTTGTGATGAGGGGGAGATTAAACCCTTCTTGGTGGCATTTTGAAATCCTTCTTCCATCTTTCAAAACTATGAAGTTTAATCCCATTTCTCTGGCTCTTCACCACAAAAACTCCATATCAGAACTGCCCCATGTTCCCCCGTGCCTGCCCTTAACCTGTTCTTTCACCTCCAAATGCTGATTTTTTTTTTTGCACGTTTGGTTTTTTGGGAACTTCGGGTTGACTGCATTTCAGAAGCCCCCCTGAACGATTCATCACCATCATTTTGGGGCGTGCATGCAGCAGAAGTCAAATAGCCTCGATTGCAGCTTCTATTGAACTCATCTTTTCTCCTCTGCAATTTCTTTATTGTGCCATAATAAAGCTGCCCCTGTCACTGCTGAGCTCTGCCTCATCCATCTCCCTCTGCGAGATGGGAGCTGAGAGAAAACTCTCTGCTGAGGCTGGACTGGATCAGTCCACCTCAGAAACTGGAAAAAATTCTCCCCCAAGTCGTTTTTTCCCTGCTGGAAATGCTGTGACAGCCCCCCAGGCTCAGCAGTGGCTCTCCATGGAATCTTCAGGGCTCCATGCTTGGAATTTCCTTACAGAAATTGGGAGTTGAGGTCACAGCAGATCCAAATCTCCCTGTTCAGGTGCTCCTTCCCCTAGGGACTGATCTTCCCTTTCCTGACTCTCCATGGAATTATGAGAGCTGGAATTCTGAAAGGTGGAACTTTAAATGGAATTATGAGAGGTGAAACTCTCCATGGAATTATAAGAGGTGGAGCTCTTCTTGGAATTATGAGAGCTGGAACTTTCCATGGAATTCTGAGAGCTGGAAGATGTGCCCTGTGCTGATGGGAGAAGTCAGACCTGCAGTTCTGCAGGGATAAAAGGCGGCTCTACACCTCTGACCTCTGCCTGGAAAAGTATAAACTGGTGGAGATTTAAAAGCAGGTGAATTTACCCCAAAATCACAGCCAGGGCTGGAATTCCTTGAATTCCTGCTGCAAAAATGAGAGGTCTCCTCCTGAGTCCTTGTCCCAACCTGCCCATGACTCATTTCATTCTTCGTTCCTCCCTTTCCTTACTCATTCCTGACTTGAAAGTCTCTTCATCTTTTGTCTCTTCATCTTTTGTTTTCCCCACATTTCAAAGAGAGGTTGGGTTTTGGTTGGATTTTTTTTTTCTGCCTCACTTAAATGACTGCTTTCCTTTCTCTTTGGGGTGTGAATGGGATGCACAGAGGAGAAAACATCCTTTGATGCAGTAATTACAAGGAGGAGAACAAAAAAATAGCAAGGGGAAGTGTGATGGAAGGAAAGATAGGCTGGAAATGATCAGTCCAATATTTATATTGTCTGAGGGATGGGTCCTGTGGCAGCTGAGATGTTCTGTGTGACCCCCCTGAGATCCTGTCACTGCTCTGTTCCCTGTCCCTAAAGAGGCAAAAATCCCAAATTCCTTAAATATTTCACCTTCTTTCAGCGCTCTGATCTCCCAGGGCTCTCTCACAGCACCTGAGAGGGGGTGGGATCCATTTTTGGGAAGCTTCAGGCACTAAAATCCCCAATCCCACCTGCATTTCTGGGGAAAATGGGGACTCAGGGTGTGGAACAGCCTCTTCAGCTGGGACCAGGAATATCCTCCCAGATCCTGCAGCAGGATTTGGCAGATGCCACTCCTGCCTCTCCAGCTCCTTGAAATTCACACACATTTTCCTTTTTGCATGGAAGACAAGGCAAACAAACTGTTCCACATAATGTTCCTTATTTATCTAACTCATCCTACCAACTTCTTGGAGCTATCTAAATATATATTTATAATTAGCTGGGCTTTTTTATATAACTACCACAGGCTAGTTTCTCCTCTCAACGATTCCTTCAGAGCAGCTCTTATCTATAAAATTATCTCATTTGGACATCCTCTATTACCAATAAAAACTTGTTATGAACCTGGGTGAAAAAAACCCCACACCCATAATAGATTTATTCTTTGTGTGTCACTCAAATCTTGACTTTCAGTGCTTTTTATCCCCTGA